CCAGCCGTGCATAAAAAATTAGTGGGAACCTCATTGAACCTAAATCGATTGAGTAAAAAAAGAAAGAATCCACTAATTTTTTTGTTGCTAATGGTAAAAGAAAACATATTTCACCTTGTCTTTGACCATGTCCTTGAAAATTGAAACAGGAACACTCTAGCTCTGTTGAATGCTGCATCATTTAGAACATTTTGTTAATCTTTGAACCCAATGGGAGAGCATAGATAATGAAATTGTAACGATCGTAGAAACAATTTCAAATTCAATCTCAAATTCAAAAGTATATTGCTTGTTCAAAAAAGCCTCCCGGAGCTTGGCCATTGACACGAATTTTTAATTCATTGTGCTAGCAAATAACTTCAGGAAAATAAGAAAATGAATATCAGTCTCTAAGAATAGTCTCTAGAGATCTTAGAAGATAATTAAGCATATGAAACAGATCATTGTATCCCTTATCTTTTGGTTATTTTGCTAGTAACTTTCATCATATTTACCGGCACTGAACTTAGATTACTAAGCTAGGTTCACCACTAGTTTATTTCATATGTATTCAATTGCTCTTTTTCCGTTTCTTTTTTTTCATATATATAGGTACCAAAACTAAAATTTAAAGTAAAACCTAAAATATCAATAAAAAGATTCAGATACGAATAATTCAAAAACAAATAACTCAATAAGCCATTATGAAAACACTAAATGGTAGATATAATTGTTTTTTCTAAAGCAGAATTTAGACACTGGGAGAGTATTTGGTGCTTGAAACAACTGCAAATTCAATCTCTATATTCAAAGAACCCTCATTGTCCAAGTACCCCTCCCGGAGTTTATCTAAAGACGCAAATTTATCCCAGCCATAGCCTGTGTTTTGCTTTGTGTACCAGTAGTTCACTGCAACGACAGAGGAAAATATATAAGCATGCATATTAATTATAAGTCAAATATAATTATAACTTAAAATTTTAAATAGTCAACGAGGGACGAAAAAGAGCACCAAATGAACATTATTTAAAAGTTTCATCAACCAATGAAGTAAATCAAAAACAAAAGTTTCTATGAGATGATATGATATAATTATTGTTTTGTAACTTACATGTCCAAGCAACGTGATGAGTGGATCCAAGAGGATCTATAAGTCTAACATGTACTCGCGTGTAGATTTTCTCCTCTGCGTTGAGTGTTTCACTCTTACTTAAATACAAATAAATAGATAACGACTTGTCTCGTGCTCTAGCATCACCCTTAGGATACACCTGTAAAAACCTATAGAACAATTTTGCATTTGTTAACACTCATAGACGCATATGTAATATGCAAAAAGCAAACAAGTTTTTCTTAGAATCCTCACCATTGCCTTCCTCCTACTAAAAACTTTACCGAGTCGTAAAATTCCTCTTTTAACTCTTTAAATTTCTTGAGAGTCCACGAGAACTTGGGATTAGATATTTTCTTATTAAAGGACACGACTTCCCATTTAGTAAGGGATGGAGCAACCAAGACATCAACACCAAATTCACATTGATCTCCCTCGAAGATATATCCATTTTTAGGGTCATTGAAAGTTTCGAGCGAAAGAACTTGAGACAATCCCCACACCGTTCTCAATGCATTGAACCGCTTCACTTCTGTATCTGTAATAGTGTGCATAAATTGTTGATGAGTAAAGAAAAAGAGAAGTGAATATATACATACTAAATGGAAAACAAATTAGCAATAGCAATATTTTGAAAAGAAATGTGAGCAATGTATATGTGAAATATATTAGATATACAAACCTTTAATAGTAAAGTATTTGTCAGTTTTCTTGTTGTAAACAAAGAATACCAGATAAGCAAACACGTCAGTTAGTGGTGTTGACGAGAGGTTTGTGCTATCAAACTCCACATACATTGAAATAAATCCACTCCCTTCGTCTTTTGCGTTTCCTTTTGGATAAATGACCAATCTCCTAAAAAAGTTACCAACAAAATCATAGAGGGTAAGAAAAAAAAAATGATCATTATTTCCATAGGATGACGAATTAATTTATTTGCTTCATGGAGCTATGTATCACAAACCACATATATGTATAAAATCATAAATCAAAACTTTTATCTCCAGAGGTCCAAACTACTCACTACCGTGAGCTCTTTTGTTTTCAGTTCTTCATCTTTCTTGAAAACTTTGTAAGGTAATTAAAGACAGTTTTGATCGAAGTAAGTCAGACTAAATATATATGTACCTAGTGCTAAATTTAAGTATACAATTAGTAAAACAAGAGTTGTATTTGTAAGTATGCATACCAGTTGTACCCGCCGGCTGCGAAAAGTCTAGATTCGTATTTTTCATCGTCGAGTTCTGTGATATTCTCAAACTTGATGGAATATGAGGAAGGAGGATGTTCTCTTAACGATGACGGTTTTGCGTCCAAGACTGTGCTGCCCATCCTTGTTACACTAGATAATCCAGAGAGACTTATTAGCGAGAAAGACGAAACTTAGGGTTCCTGATAGAGAACAATCTTCTTTATTAAAAAAAAAAAAACGATTGATCTTTGATTTATAAATATTTTTTCAACTGCAAACAAAAAAGTAAACGGACGTGGATCGGAATATGGAAAGACGAAACTTAGGGTTCCTGATAAAGATTGATCTTTGGTTAAATCTCACATTTAATTTTCCTTCTATTTTTTTTACACCTTTTAAATTTCCTTTTTTATATAGCAAGGTTTTACTAATTTGACAAAACAAGATAAATGACATATTTGAGAACTCCGATCATGTCCGCGGACACTGGACAAAAATATAATTAACTTGCTATGGGCATATTGCTTGGCGGCCCATGAGCACGAAAAGTAAAACCTACATAATCATTAGGAACAAACACGTGTTTGTATATTGGCTCACGTATGAGAATAGTTAACCCCAATCAATATGATGTTGCATTAGCTCTTTCTTGTTTTTTATCCTTTTTGGGCAGGAAATAGTTACTAGGTTAAGCTTGTTTGTATATTCTACAAACTCTTCTCATTATTCATTAATGAAATTCAAATACTTATAAAAAAAAAACACGTGTTTTCTACTCAAATTCGGAAAACTCTTTTATCTCATTTTCATAGTTGGATTCATCTTTCTTACACTTAATATATCTAGAAACACGATCGATCTTACTTTTGTTTCTTGTTATAATCGTGTGTGGATCTTGTACACATATTTTTTCATCGTTTTAGTAATATATGTCTGTTTTAAAAAATTTGAATCACATCATATGTAGAAAATTTTTTTAATATTTTATTAACTATATGTATATTAGATAAATTACAAATAAATTAAATATAAGATCAAATAAATTAATTACAAATACCGATTTGCTTTTGGATCAGGGAGTTTGATAGCTTTGGCTCCTCCCTTTGTAACATTTCCCTCCTTAGAGGATGATTAGTATGGTATAAAATCTTGGTGAACAAAAAAAAAAAAATTCAAATAAAAGTGAAAGAAGAATCATATGTTTATGTTTATATTAGGTCAGAGAAATTTTAAGAAATTAACAAGGAAAGATAACATTAGTTAGGACAATATCTTCAATTAGATTTTCGGAGATTTTGGGAATGTTTAGAATTTAAGACAGTAGGATTAAAATATAAATAAGTTACAATCCAAGGATTTAGGAGTCTAATTAAGTCAAAACTGAAGGACTTTTTGACCAAAAACCCTCCAAAATGTATATGTAGATGGTTGACTGACCAAAGCTACAATAAATACAAATACAAAGAAAATTACAAACAACCTTAAATACAATTTTATCCAATTAAATTAATGTTGAATAATTTATATATTTTTTTAACTTCAACGTTTATTGTTTATTGGTTAATAATATTCATGCTATATAAATTAAAAAATTATGATACATGTCAAAATCTAATTAACCAATAATACACGTCAATTAGCATATAATTTGTCTTACCAAACAAATTAGCATATCATTTGTTCTTTTTTTTTTTTTATTAGTGGGTCTGCTTGTTTTCAAACTAAGCATGTGGGCAGCGATTTTTCTATTATGCCTTCCAATATCAGCCTAAGATGTTGGTGCTCGTTGTTGTACTTCTTGAACATGGAGATTTTGTACTTCTTAAACATAGAGTTTTGATTCCCCATGGTGATGATCCTTTAAAACATAAATCTCCTTAAATAATGCAAATTATATATTCGAAAGAACTATTTATGTAGATATTGAGTTGGACTAACCACATCTTGCGGATTCATAATCACATGATCGTGGTTCATCGTAAAACAATCGAATCTACAAATATTGTACAGGAAACGATCTCCTCGAAACAAAAACAATCTCAATTTTTATCAGTTGGTCATTAAAGCCATTGCAATCGAGTATATAGGAATCGAACCCACATCGTTAACTTGGAATGCTAAGAGATTTAGTCAACGTCGATCGCTCATCTTTTTAACGTGTCTAATCCATAACCACTTGATGATGGATACTTTTAATTTTAGTTCTTCATATAAGTATATCATGAGTTATTGCTATGTGTTATACTTTTCATTTAAAATATTTTTGATCAATAATTTTAGTGGTTAAAGAAACAATGCAACAATGAAATTAAATATTTTTGTTACTTTTAAACGATAATTTTGATTTACAACATTGTTAATTAGTTTTTTTTGTTAAATTTGATTTTAATTATATATTAAAAAAAAAACTATCCATCGGGTGGATCCTAATCTAATGTTAATATAATGATGCGATTTAAGTATTCAACAGAAAACTAACTATAAAAGATGGGATTTTTAAACGATTGGCTTAACCGGTAGAAATGATCCTTGTTTTACTAATGAAATCGATTGTTGGTTATTATTTTGGTTTTGCTTCCATGTCTTCTAGAACCGGTTAAATCCACGTCAGCTGAAATTTTTTAAAACAATTTCATACTTATTTTTTTAGAAAATTACTCTGTAAAATAAATTGACACACACAACCAGCACACAACTTTACCCCTTCTTCACTAAATCGACTCTTTTCCGTTTCTTCGAGCTCAAATCCCAACGACAATGGCGGTTCCGATTCACTTCCTCATCAACTCTCCACATGAATCATCCGACGAAGAGTACAACGGTTCCGAAATTTCCTATTCATCTGAAGACGAGTCCATGGAAGACGAATCGTCCGAGTTAGAAAACACAAACGGAGAATCTCTCTCCAATCTCGAACATGAAGGTACATATTCACCATTTCCTCTGTTTCTACTCTGAATAAGCTTGATCGAGTCTGGTTATGTCGAGTTCTGTGAGGTGATTGCGTTAAAATCTGGAAGAAAGTAACGGAAACTGATACTATTTTGGAAAATCTTGTGTAATCGATTCGTATCTCTGATTTTTGTGTTACAGAAAGTGAGAGTGATGGTACTGAGGATGAGTTTTGGGTTAAGTATCCGTATTTGAAGGAGTTAGTCGAGATTATTGTAGCTCAAGGTTTAATTTCTGAAGAAGTAGCTTTTGAGAGAGGTAAGCTTATTGGTGATGATAAGGCTAAAGAGTTGAATGATGGATGGAAAGCTTTGTGTCTTAAGGAGCAGGATTTGGGTAATCAAATGCTTGAGCTTCTTGCTTCTTCTACCACAAAACCCTGAAAATTTGAGGAATTTTTCATGTTTTGTTCTGGTCTGTGACTGTGAGAACTTTGGTTTTGATGTGTTGTTTGTGTTGGTATTGAAACCTTAATGTGTTCATCTTTATGGAAGAAGAAGAAGATAAACATTCACTCACAGTTCTTTTTTTTTGTTTGCAAAAGTTTTTCATATATTGAAACCCAAAAACAATGGCGTAATACTAACTCTATATCAAACTTTGAAGTTATCGCCATTAAAACGCTATGCAGCTTCTATGATCATTTTAGAAAACGTTAAACAAAACAAAACAGAGTTTTTGGTGTTTCTTCAATCGACGTCGTCCGATGTTGTTGTTTTCAGAGGTTTCTCGACATTGTCTTGAGAGAAAGAAGCTGTTCATAAGAGAAGAGACAAACACCACGAGAGGAAAGAACATTTCGTGAACCTGGAGAATTCGCAATAACCTGAAGAATCTGTTGACGTGTTAGCGATTTGAGCAAATCGGATTCTCCTACTTCTCCGGCAGTGTTGTAGACAGATTCAAGAGGCATCCAACTGAGTGAAGCAATTTGAGATTGAAGAAACTTGATGTATCTGTGTGATTCTTCTAGAATCATCGCTAAACTCAATTTTTTTTCCCATGGCATAAGTTTCTCCAAGGATCTGATTTTGTCTGAGATCTTCTTTCGTTTGGTAATACCAGTACCACCGTCGTTTGTGTTTGATGATGACGCTGTTGGAGATCCGGAGGCTGTTGAAGAGGAAGACGAGTTACGCTTCTTGCGACGGTTGGCGACGGGAAGAAGAGGAGGAGAGAGAGATGGAAAGAGCTTCATCGTCGTCGGTTCTTCTTCCACGGCGGGTGGTTGTTCGATGGATTTTAGATCGGGTAAATGAAGAAACGGTGTGGTGTTGGTGGTGGCGACGTCGTTGTGAAAGAGCTGAGCGGAATCGTAAAAGAGATGTTCGAAGCGAGTTGACTCAGTGACGTGGTGACGATTGAGGAGAGATAGAGTTGAGTCGAGGAAGAGGGAGTCTGCATGAGAGAGAGACAAGTCGAGGTGGTGGTCGGAGAAGGTGAAGGAAGAGGGAGTGAAGTCGGAAGGTGGAAGCGGTGGTAACTCAGTGAGCGAGTCAAACTCAGTCTCCATTTTCTCCGGCGAAAGCGAAAACAGAGAGAGGAGAAAATGAGAATGAAGCGTGACTGTGTGAAGAAGAGAATAAAACAGAGAGATATCCACGTGGCTTGTGATGATTGGGTGTGAGAGAAAAAAAGAAATAATTAAGAAAAGAGAGATATACACGTGGAGTGTGGTGATTGGATGATGAAGAGAAGGCGGCGACACGAGGAACGAAGACGATTCCGTTATATGTTTTTGTCGACTGTTTGTCGCGCGACCCTCGTCAGGCGGTTTCAGGGTATTGTACTGATTGAATATGGACCGTTGGATTGTTTTTACGATCAGATGATACTGATCCCATGGACAGGGATTTTTGTCAGGTAGTGAAACAAATTCTGATTTACGGATTTGTGCCATCGTAATGATGTTACTGTAAAGTTTTTTTTTTTGGGGGCGAAGCCACGTGTACTTTTCTCCAACCGTGACTGCAAAAGTATCTGGAAAAGAAATTTGAAATGTTTTTTTTTTTTTTTGCATTACTTTTATATTCGTGATTGTAACAAAAAAAGAAATTGTTCAAAACTAAAATAATTTCCGGAAAATTAGAGTACTAAATTCAGAGAAAAAAAATTAGAGTACTTAATTCGATTTTCTCGTCATGTGGATTTGAGAAACCGTATTTTATCAATAGTTGCTGTCTCTGATCAGAGACAGTAAATATAGTTAAGGATTTTATCAAAAAAAAAAAATATAGGAGGGAAAAAAACCGTATAAATATTTTTTTTCATTTTTTTTTCTGTATAAATATTTCGTTTGTTCTAAAAGTTTTGAAAAACTAATTCAACGTTTTTATCCACTACAAAAAAAAAAACTTAAACATAATAACATATTTTAAGATGTTTCAAAAAAAAAAAAACATATAGTACAGACTATATTATATTAACACAAGAAATTGGAGAAAGCGATCGGCACAGATAAGAACGTGCTTTCTTGGAAAGGGAAACCTGGTAAATAAAAGAGAAAGTTACCGAACTGTTGTAAAATGGCTCGTCTGTTTTAACCACTGTAACAAATCTTGTAAACAAACTGACAAGGTCAAAGTTTGACCCATTTATGTGTAAACTTGCATGACGGCAAAAATGATATTTTAACCCGAATGTAAAGGAAATGATCGTTATTACTTGGGCCAAGAGGCCCACTAGTTAAATCAATATCATCTGGGCTCGATGATGATTGATGACAATATATCAAAACATCTGTATTGCACGACATTTCACATTTGTAACTTGTGTTAATGACTTAATGTGTTCTCTAAATGCATTTTTTTTTTGTTAATGCTCTAAATGCATTTTCTCCAGTGTAAAGAGAGGAAAACGCAAATTTCCCAAAACCTATGACAAAATTTGTAAGTTAATAGATAACCTATTTAAAAAGTAAATAAAACTGAACCATATAATTGTATTACGATATGATTACAACAACGGAAAGCTATAAGTATTCTTGGTTTTGTACTTGTTGGCGATAATGACTAGTTAGTAAATCATGTTTGTTTTTGCAGTTGGAAGAATTTAATGACATGTTTCAGCGAGTAAAACATGTTACTATAATTTTCATCATTGACGTAATCCAAATTCTCAACTGTAATTTTTAGTTTTTAAAATTTATAGTTATAACTTATAAGTCGCCGAAATCGAAAGCCATCAACTACTGATTGGTCACTGCGACTGCAAAATGATTGAATTTTGTTATGTTTTTGTCAGTTTTGCCCATTTGTTTATTTTCGTATTGCATGTCTTTAGTCGGTTTTTAGTAGAATTTTAGGTGCGTTTTTAAGTGTCTTTTCAAAATTTTACGGGTTAGGGGTTGTGTTTGCTGGGGAAAGAGCTATGGACGAGTGTTTGGATCGAAAACGAAGAAATTTGGGCCACATGGCCCGTTAAATCTAGCAATATCATCTACACATTTCAAATTTGTAATTTGTGTGTTACTAAAAGCATTGTCTTTTGGTTTCTTTTTTTTGTCCGTGTCGTCCATTTTCTCCGGTGTAAAAAGAGAGAGAAATACATTTCCCAAAACATTTTTTTGGTCGTATTTCCCAAAACCTTTGACATATTTTTTTAAAGAATATTCAATTCATATAACATTCTTAAACCAAGTAAAAGTGTGATAAAATATGCTCGACTAATAACTCAATGATCTCTGCTATGATGCTATGATTATCCAATACCACCTTGATTTAAATCCAGTTTCTTTTCAATACCGAGTTAAATAGGATCATGTGTCACATGATTCATGAACAATACATGAAGCAAAATTATATACATAACGTAGAATGTTTTTACACTCAATGTTCTATTACATGAATAACATATAAGTTGATGAGAAGGTGTGTTACTTTAATGTGATTGTGTGAGAAATGATCTTTCGTTTTCATAATCTTAAAATATGAAGGAACAAAAGTAGGAATCCAATCCCTCCAAAGAAGATTCAAGCAAAAGGTAGGAGATGACATGACCATGCACATGACCCAAATCTCAGTGATTTTTATACATAGAAATTTCTTTTTCCTATCACAAAAACAAAAGAATACATATGGACTGATCGATGTGGCGACAACACACATATAATAGTGGTACAACGCAAGGGTTCATTAGTTTAATATGATAGAAAAAGTTGTGACTTGTGAGTCATTGAAATGCAATGGTGGTTCCATATAGTTTTATATTGGTATATAATGCTATATCAACTCACTACATATTTTTTTTGGAATGAACTTATAAAGTTATATATGTCTAGTTGATGAACCTTTTTAATTTCTCTAACGTACAAATGGTATGATTGCAATTACTTTATTAGGTTTTACACCACGTGAGCAATATTGGTGTTTCACGTAAGCACCTTAAGGTCCTTAACATTTAAACTCCACTCTGTTTAGCTATACCTAGTAACGTTATTGTATTCCAGATTTCAAGTTTGGCTTTGTTCCAGATATATCTTGAATACCAAAACCAATAACAAAAAATCAACCAAATGATGCCTCCATTTGTTTCCTATGTAGTTTAGTTAATTTATCCAAAATACACCCTAATTTTCCCATTGTAAGAGACCAATTTAGAAAGATGGCTAGTACTGTGAAGAAATGGCTCATGCATTGGGCACTCAAATGGGCCAAACACGGCAATAGTTGTAAATACCTATTGATATGAGGGGTAAAAGTGTCCTTGCAGAGTGTAAGTCACGTGAGCCCCGTTCCATGGCTTTTTTGCCCACCACGTTAGGAGCTTCAGTGCATGAGCAGTTGAAACCAAATCACACTTTTATTTATTATATAACTTTTATTTTTGTTAAGAAAAAAAATTCACATTTGAGTCTTTTTTTTTTGGTGTTATCTAACGAATGCTATTTTTAGCCTTTTATCTCTTCTATTGTGGCCGTGCCTCGTTTATTAACAACTAGTTTCTTGTTATTTTCTGAATAGTATTTTAACTATTTGTTATGCCATTATTCTAACGTAATAATACATGGTTTTTATTTGCGAAAATTGATATGTATATTACATATCGAATATATATGAAGAATTATTGATATTATATAGTTGCATACTTGCATGTCATCATCAACGATTATAATAATTATATATTCTTGATTTTGTATCTTTGATAACGTCTCGATGTATTCAATTTTTTCTCCTTTCTAATTATTAAAATCTAGAAATAGTATGATAAATAAATCAAATTCAGTTTGGTCCACATAGTACCAATTTTGTTGTGGTCGGGTCCAATAATTAATATTTTGTATATTAGTATTTAAGGGAAATAAGTATGTACTTCATTTATTAATCAACTGGAAAATACATAACCAATAACCTACATAACAAAGAAAAAGAAAACAACAGTATTACAACCATTATTTGCAAGGAATTTTTTTTAATTCCTCTATCTAGGTTCATACACCTACAAAGAATCCAACTTTTCATGAAAGCTATTTTATTATCACTGGAAAAACGAATATTAGTGTTAATTTTAATAAAAAGATAGTTTTGATTGAAAGGTTCTCATATAAATGTAACTTGATTATCTCAATCCATTTTATTTGACCGCTGCACGATTCATTCTAAAGTTTGGTCTACGATAGTTCATGAGATTAAATAATCCAAAATAAATAAAGTTGATTAGAGAGATAAATACAACATGATTATTAAAAAAAAAGGGAACATATCCTAAAAAGCTTCACCATTTGAGCTTAAACTAAATAAACTTTACCTGAAAAAATAAATGATTAATTACTGATTGATCAACTGATCAAAAGGTAAAATGCGTTGTCATGACTCATAATCTTTTTCTAACAATATATCTCTATGAAAATACGGAATAAACAAAAAAATATCCTTTATCTTTTCAATAAAAATAAATTGTTTTATTAGCAAGAATGTCAGAGAATAGGTCTCACTTCTCATCTCTCTCTCTATAACAGTGAACAGAGAGGTGTTTGTTTGGACACGCCTTTGTTGCTTTGGTCTCTTTCTTTTTTTCTATTACTCTCTCATTTTTTTTTCAATGAACAAAATAAAAACCAACCACTAATTTGTGGGTGCTTCACCAATAGACTTGACAGACATCAAAAGAGAAGACTTAATTATACAAAATCTGACAATCACAAAACCAACAAAAGTTTCTTGCTTCTTTGCTCTTTGTCTTCTTTCTCTTCTCAGCATAAATCCACACCTCTCTCTCCACTGTTACTCACTTCTTTCACCACATTTCTTTTCTCTTTTGGAGGAAAAATCAAGAAAAAGAGAGATAGAATCTAGTTCTATCCAAGAGTGTTTTTAGTGTCTTTCTCTGTTTTTGGCTATGGAAGTTCGTTGCTCTGATCTTGAAGTAGACATCAATGGAGAAGAAACCATCTTTCTCAATAAGGTAAAAAGTCCCTCTATAAAACTAGCTAGTCTCAAAATCAAAACTTTAACCATTTTTCAATGTTAATTTCACTATTTCTTATCTGGGTATAATTAAATTCTTGTTCTTGCCTTAAATATTGATTTACAAGTTCTAATTTCTATTTTAAGAAATACATTTTTTCTTTTTGTGTTTTGTTTTGATTCTGTGATAATATTTTATGGCTCACGTACTGTGTGTGACTCTGTTACATTTAGCATTTAATGTCCTCTCAACAAATTACCTTAAAATGAGGGCACACAAATCTCTCTTTTGTTTTCTCTGTTAAACCAATAATCACTAATTTGGAATCTGTAACCTGATTTCTCTGAGTATCAATGGTCTCAAAAGTTTTAGTTAAGTGAGTAATGAAGTAAGATGTCTCCATCATCATTTATTACATTTTTGTTCTTATACTTGTTCTCTGACTTTCTCCCATATTTCTCTCTGTAAATCAAACAAAATTTTTGCCCTCTAGAAGAAGATAAGAGGCTTAATTTGGATTTTTCTTGGATACTATTCACTTCCCTTTTGTTCTTACTTGTTGTTGTGTGACTTATGAGATGATCTTAAATGATTGGAGACACAGTGACCTTTGTGTAGTTGATATTTAATTTCCTTCCTGTCTTGTAATAACTGTTGCCTTTATTCTTTCACAAACAGTAAGAGCATGATTATTGGTAGTATCTTAGAAATAAATCTTAGGAATATTTAAGTAATATATTTGTAAAAGTGATAGTTAAGATATAGTATTTTTGGGTTAAGATTTTTGTGTGATTAATGGTAGGTTCTTAACATGTGGTTCTTAGAAAAAAAATATTAATACAAAAATAAATTTTATATTTATAGAAAATTTAATAATTGTTGCAAATTAAAAAAATTAAAACATACATGAGATACAATTTATAACATAAATAACATAAAGCACAAATGTTTTAAATTTAATTTCTGGAATATTTTGTCCATATATGCTCGACCAAATCCTTCTTCAATTGTAGATGCATACTTTTATCACGAATTCGAGTTCTAGTGGCCATCATATCGAAGAAATTTGAAGGCATATCTGTAGAATATGTGAAATCCACCCGTGAACTTCCTGCAGATTCCGCTTGTTCGAATTCGGTAGTATCAAACAGAGTATACCCATCTCGTTCGTCTTCTACTATCATATTGTGAAGTATTATACATGCTCGCATAATATTTCCTATTTTTACCTTATCCCAAATAAGAGCCGGATTTTTGACAATGGCAAAGCGAGCTTGCAAAACTCCAAAAGCACGCTCGACATCTTTACGACAAGCTTCTTGATGGGTTGCAAATAAAGATGCTTTATCAGTTTGTGGAAGTGAAATAGATTGGATAAAGGTAGCCCATTTAGGATAAATGCCATCCGTGAGATAGTAACCCAAATGATATTCGTTCCCGTTGACTGTATAATTCACTGCTGGTGCTCGCCCTTTTAAGATGTCATCAAAAACCGGAGAACGATCTAGAATATTGATATCGTTTAAAGTACCTGGAGGTCCAAAAAACGCATGCCATATCCAAAGATCTTGGGAAGCTACAGCCTCTAAAACGATCGTTGGTTTTCCAGAGGCACGTGTATATTGTCCTTTCCAAGAGGTAGGGCAATTCTTCCACTCCCAATGCATACAATCAATGCTTCCCATCATCCCGGGAAATCCTCGAATCTCTCCAATCCGGAGGTATTCGTCAACCGCATCAGCCGCTAAACCATATGCAAGCATACGAATTGCTGCTGTACACTTCTGTAGTGTAGAAAAACCGTATCTTCCTGTAGCATCTCTTTTTTGTTGAAAGAATGGAATTGTGGAGAGTCGATCAACAACACGCATGAATAATGGCTTGTTCATTCTAAAACGGCGTCTGAATAGATTAGGAGGGAAAGTTGGATTTTCTGCGAAATAATCGTTCCATAACTGGATGTGTCCTTCTTCTCGATTTCTTTCAATATGGACTCGTTTTTTCCTCGGTTTTGCGGCTTGTGGACGATCACCGTAAGAATACAAAGAATTATCTATTTCTTGCTGTAAAATATTACTAAATTCTTCGTCCAACGTTTCTTCTAAATTGTCATGGGAAGATGATGCCATTTACAATATAGAATTGTTTTGGATTTTTTTGAGTAAAAATAGAAGCCTTGGCGTAGAAAAGAAATTGGAGATTTTAGTTGTAGAAAAGAAAAAGAAGCCTTGGAGATTTTTGTTGCAAGTAACTGTTTTTAGAGTAGAAAAGAAATAGAAGCAAAGTAAGAGGGAAAGAGTCTGGACAATTGATATTACAAAGTGATATTACATGGTCATATTTATAGTGGACTACACAAAACATATACATGGTTAAGAAGCAAAGTGAAACATGTGGTTACAATGAATACTTGTGTCCGTGAACAAACAGAGAGGACTTGTGGTAAAAAGCAAACTAAAACATGTGGTTAGAATCAAGACTTGTAGTGTCCGTGTACTTGCTGGAATCTTGTCTGCTTTATGTGATCTGGCTCTCTCCTTTCCACACCTTTCAGATTTGGACTTGCAGCATAATAGTTAGCAATGCGTGACCAAAAAGCATTACCCTTTTGTTCATTGCCTATTACTGGATCCTTACTTGTGTTGAGCCAAGCACTGATGAGCACCACGTCTTCTGTGGGAGACCATTTCCTTCTCCCTCTTTTCACCTTGGGTTTGTGTGCAGCTTGGCTTGGAGAGTCAGCTTGGCTTGGAAAGACAGGGACATCATCATACGGATTGGCTTCTAGATTGTGAACCTCTTGTTGACTAGTTAAGAGGTTCACAAAGCCTGATCCATGACTATATGGATATGAATCCATAGCCTAGTTCTCTGGTTGGTGTTGAAGGAAAAGAATAGAGCAAAAGATAAGAGTTTTGGTGGTTGTTAACGACTAGTGTGTTAACTTAGAGAGGATATGTTTTTGGTGTGTGATGGTCTGTGTTAAGTAGAGTTAGTGGTGTGTGTTAAGCTACGGAAAGAGAGTGTGTTTTAATTACAAGCAATCAATTACAACTACCAAGTATTTAATAATCCAACAAAACCAAGCATTGATCACACATAGTTTATGGTTTTTATTAACAGAGAGAGATGAAGTTAAACAAGCTAAAGCAATGACTTCAAGTCTGATGTAGACAATCAAAGTGAAACAAGCAAAAGCAATAACTTATCAAACTGAAGCCAAACATAGTTAATGAGCATAGTTAAAGCATTCAGAACAGCGAAACTTAAAGGTGTGTTAATGGTGCACTAAAGACTGATGTAGACAGCATAATCAAAGCCTAATTTCCAATTAAAAACGTAATTTTTATGCAAAAGATTTCAAGCATTGATCAGAGGTTCCATTTTATGCAAAATATTACACAGAGAAAGCATTCAATATAAGCACCTAATCTAAATCATGTAAAATCAGAAGTTCAATGATATAAGAAAGAGAAAGGAGAATTGTTTCAATATCTCTACCTAATCTAAAACAAACAAGATTTACTCATTCAATGATTCAATATCTTCACATAGATTAAAACAAACAAGTTCATACAAGAATTACCTTACATGAGCTGTTACTCCGTACTCCATGTAATGAACCTCATCTCTAATGAACATCATATGTCTGCTTGTTCTCCAATTGACCTCGCCAAAAACAGAGAAACAGATCAATAAGCCTCATCAAAAAATACTATCTGCGACATTTATCTATTTCAAGCAAAACACATTTCAAAAACGTATCAAACAGATCAATTTCATGGTTCAAAACAACACTATCTGCGATGTTAAATGGAAACAAACAGATCAATTAAGAATTCCCAATCTTTTAACAACATCATATGAACCCTAATTTAAAAAAAAAACTTTCTGCTATCAAAACCCAACCCTAATTTGGTATGAAAACGACATGCAAACATCAGAGAACACTAATTTTGATACAGTCAATTCCCAATTGTGAAAACACAAAATCAACCTAAACCCTAATCCCCAAAATCGAAAAAAATCTAGAGACCGAAACATCCCGATCGGAAAACCAAAAGCAGAGATCTGGGTACTTACCAGTTTGAAGAGTCACCGATATCTCCACCGGAATCGAAGAGAAGAACGCATCTCCTCAGTTTTGTCGCCAAAGGCTTCGAGTGAGAGAGAGATGAATGAAAAAATGTCGGAAATAAAACGAAGCAACTGACTTTTTTCTTGTTTTGTTTTTTCTTCCCCCCACTCATATCGCGACACGTGTGTGATTCTTAACATAAAAAAAATGTCTTAGTTAAGATACAATCTTAGTTGGTTTGATTAATTATAATAGATTTTAATGTTAAAAATTGGCTAAGATTTGGCTAAGATGTACCGTTATTCATGCTCTAACATGGCTTAAAGTTTTTAGCTTTTTTTTCTTGTGGGTCTTTTTGTGTTCTTGAGGAAACTTACTCATATGACTTACTTTTGTGTTGTTTTGTACTTTGACTGCAGCAAATCATATGTGCTTATTCTGGAACGTTAAGGAAACTTTTGGGGAAATCAACTTGTTCCAATGGAAATCTCAAGGTGATCTTTAATGATTTCCCTGGTGGTGGGGAGAGTTTCGAGCTTGTATCGAGATTTTGCTACAATGACGGTCGAGTAGCTGTGATGCCTTCGAATGTTGTCTTCTTGCATTGTGCTGCTAAGTTTATGGAAGTCACTAAAGTCTTGGAACAAACAGAGAAGTGTATGGAAGAGATTCGGTATTGGGCTTGGTCAGAGGTTCTTCTCTGTTTAAAACAGTGTCAAGAAGTTGAAACATCGCCCGAAGCTGATTCTTTAGCCGCGAAACTGATGGATGCGTTAGTGGAGAAACTGTGTTTAACCATTGAAATGAGTCCTTCTAGTGCTGCTTCTGCTTGTTCACCAGATAGCAGCTTGTTTCGGTTTTCTTGTGACAGTAAAAGTACAGAGAGTTTCAAGAATAGCTCTGTTCGGTTAACATGGTGGTTCGATGAAGTTCTTGTTCTAAGTGCCGGTTTGGTTGAAATGTTTTTGAAGCTTATGGTATTGCGGAAATTCGATAATCTCATCATAAGTAGGTTCTTGTTCTATTACCAGAAGGTCAAGTTTTGCTCCGCATCTTCTCATGAGAAAAGAAAGATTCTTGAAACCATCATTGATACTCTTTGCGTCTTAGATCGAAGTTGTGTCCCTTGCAAGAGCCTTTTCGGGGTTTTGAGGCTTGCTCTTGGATTGAACATAAACAAAAGCAGCATGAACAAGCTGGAGCTTATGATAGGTCACCAACTGGATCAAGCAACACTAGACAATCTTCTTGTTCCATCTCCATCGAAATCGAGTCACTTGTACTATGTGAATCTCGTTCTTAGATTCACAAAAGCTTTCCTCGACGGAGCAAGAGGAGGATTGCAATTGAAGAAAGTCTCAAGCTTGATTGATCAATACATAGCTGAAGTAGCACCGGATCCTTGCTTGAAACCTTCAAAGTTTCTGTCTCTCCTCACACTTGTTCCAGATTCAGCCAGAGAATCCCACGAAGAAATATATCGTGCTATCGATATGTATCTCGAGGTACGTGTCAACACTCATCTCAAATTCAAAATTTGAAAGAATGTTTCGATCTTTATCACATAAATGACAAGTTTTTGGCTCGTTCAGGCTCACACAGGATTAACCGATGGCGAAAAACTCAACTTGATACGAACATTAAGTTACGAAAAGCTTTCAGGAGAATCAAGAGCACACATTTCCCGTAACCCGAAGTTTCAGGCAATTGAGACACTAGATGAACAACAACAACAACAACAACCGAAGCAGCTCATACTCCGAATGGAGAAGGTTGAGATTTCAGGAGAGAACGAAAAGCTGAAGGAACATATTGAAGGGATTCAGTGGCGGGTAATGGAGTTGGAGAGAGCCTGTTTAAAAATGCAGAATCAGATGGAAGTTATCAAAAAGAGATCCAAGAGCTCGAGCAAAGGAAGTAACAGATCACTTCCTAAGCTCTGTTCTTGATTAGTGAAGCTGTAGCTTACGAGATCATATTTGTACATAGAGTGATAGAGCATAAGGAGTCAATTATAGTTACAATTTGTTTCTTATGTTTCTTTGTTTACTGTCACAAAGTTGTGCGCAAGGAAAAGTAAAGAAAGATTCGTATTTATGGAGATGTTTAGGTTCTTGTTGATACAAACTTAAATCAATCAAGTTTTCTTGTGAGATTAATACAAAGAATGGAAAAGAAAAATGATTAGAGAAAGTCCAAAAGAATCTAGAATTTTGATTCTTTTCTTACTTAAACGTTACTCTTTTGTGATTCCAAGATTCTCCACGTGAAAGTGCGTTTACTTAGAAAAGAAAACAGTTTTTGGACGAGGCATTGCCGTTACGTGTAAAACTTTGCACGACAAGAAGAATGCTTAGTATTCAAGTCATGAATTGAAGAAATTCAGACTAAGAAATAAGAATAAAAATATATTCATTCCTTTGATAGTCACTAGTAAAAAGATGCATTGAAGATAAAATTCATAACATTGTCAAATCTAGTTTCATCGCCAGCTCACTTCAAAGTTCAAACCAAAAGGAAAGCTGTAAAACAGAGAACTACAAACATAGAGCCGAGACACCGTACCAGGCGAATAAAGACTAGAGATACTTTCGGGCTCAGGATGTTTCAGCAGCCGGTTGAGTCACACCATGCTTAACCAACAGCTTGGTGAGCGACTCAGGTGAGTGAACATGGTACTTAACAGTCCCGGATGGAGTCAGATACAACTCAGCAAGCTCTAGCTTCTCAGATGTTAAGCTAGTGCTGTCCATTGTTTTGGTCAGAACCTTCAAGGCGAGCTCGACCGCTTCTTCCCTGGTTGCATCGTCCTTGTAGTCTTGTTTCAGAATAGACTGAGCCGCCTGATTGTTTGCTCCAACAGCTGCAGCTTTCCAACCACCATAGTTCCCACTCGGGTCACTCATATATAGCTGGAACCCATAGTTCTTGTCCCATCCTGCAAAGAGAAAGGAGACACCAAATGGGCGAAGACCACCGAATTGTGTGTAGCCTTGTTTTGTGTCGCAGAGAGATTGAACCAGCTGCTCAACCGGCATGGGCTCTTGGTACATGAAGGTGTAACGTTGAGCTTGGACTCGTGCCGTGTTGATGAGTATGTTAGCATCAGACATTATACCAGCAACAGCACAGGCAACATGGTCATCAATCTTGTACATTTTCTCAGCAGAGGTTGAGGTTTGAAGAAGCTTAGAGGTGACTTTCTTCTCACCGATCAAGACAACTCCGTCTTTGGATAAGATACCAATAGCAGAACCAGCGTTTCCAATGGCCTCCATAGCATACTCTACCTGGTAGAGACGACCTTCAGGCGAGAAGATTGTGGTACGGCTATCATATCTCCGAGACATTTTTAACACCTACACCACAACAAAAACAACAACAAATGCATTGGTCTAAGTTAAAAGATTCAAGATCAAATGCTATTCTTACACGACTAAGCCAACTAGTCGACTGGACACAAAGCAATACACGCAAAGTTTTCCAGGATAGATAACTATAAACTATGACCTTCCTCGAAACATTAAAGCATCGAAAAATGTAAGAGAGGATCAAATCTCCCAAGTTTCATACACAGATTATAATCGGAAGTAAAGAGTTCTTCAAACAGTAAAACTCTATGGTCACACAACAGAAACAAAAAAAAAACTGCAGCTTTCGCATAAACAAAATGGCGGCAACAAGCCAACGAGAAGCATTGACACTAATTCATACTCCATTAGACACAAGGCTAGTTCTAAAAACCCGAAAATTAGGGTTTTCGACATCACAGCGATCAACTTACCCGATTGATTCAGATCAAACCCAGACTAATCTAGGTAAAGATTCTTCAATAGAACGGAAAGGAACTAGCTTTAACATTCTCTGTTACTTTTGAGATCGACACAGATTACAGAAATGAAATCACAATCACTTACCTAGTAGGAGTCGACAATCACTGATGCCTATATAAAAATACTAATTACATCTCCCAGAATCGTATCTAACTAGGGTTTATCAAATTCTATCGAAATTATGAAGATTTCATAAGCAAACACTTTGCTCAAGACAGATCCAGCAACTCAAATTCAAACAGGACAACGAAGATACCCAAGTTTAGGAATATGTAGAAGAATGAAAGACAGTAGACGTAAGAAAATAGATTGAGTAATTTCTTTACCTGAGACGAATTCGCTTCTCTCTCGTTTGGTTCTTCTTTGATTTTGCTGAGAACTTTGCTCTCGATAAAAGACGACCTCTGAGATGTGAACTGTTCGACAAGCCAGAAAAAAAAAAAAAAAAGTTGTGCTTTTTCGATTAGGCCCAAAGATGTACTTAATGGATAGGGTGAAAGCCCAAATGATAAAAATGAAGCCCAAAAATCATAACTCGGAGACTTGGCGAAGTTCAGATATTTAATTAATGGAATAATAAATGAATTTAAATTTTCTCCTTTCTTAGATAATTAATTATTTTTTTACAAATAAGAATGTTCTTCACTAAGTTAAAGGAAAAAAAGAATGTAATGATTACTAAATGTTTAAATGTCAGCCTTTGGGAGGCGATTTTTTAGGTCTAGCCGCCAATCAACTTCTCTTCTCAAATCTCTGTCGATTCCTCTCTGATTTTCCGGTGCCCTTGGCCGGAGTCGTGAGAGGATGTGTCTGTTTATCTTTTAATTGCTTTTTCTTTGTTTTGGGTCTTCTATGGCTTCTCCTATGGCGGATTTAAGACAAGGTCTAGATGGTTGTGCTTCGATTGGGTTGGTTCCGTTCTAGTGATGGGTTTGCTTGGTTCTCAGTGGATGGTTGGTGTTTTCGTCGGAGCCAGTGTGGTTCTTCACTATTACGGCTGTTGTTTTTGGAGATGGAGGTTTGGTTACTTCATCTTGTTTATGCACGTAACTTTTTGAAGCTCTGCAGTCTCGATTCTGTCTTAGGCTAAGATTGGATTGCCTTTGGTTGGGTAATTTAGTCTCTGCTCTTTGCTTGTCCTTGGATTTGCTAAGTCTTAGTCTCGTTTGTGTTAGTTGAGGGTAGATGCCTTAGTTTCAAGTTTAGGGATGGCAATATTGACTCCTAGTTCTGCCTCCTGTTACTTTCTGCACGGTTATTGGGGTTATGAGTTTGTGAAGGTTTCGTTTTGTGGGTTCTTCATTTGGATGGTAGTCTCCTACAAAGGCATCTACTAGCTCTCTTCTTTTTCCTTGTTTGGATTTAAGGTTTGAGTTCAAGACGATGTGGTAGGCTCGGTCTCTATTCCTTCTCTTGCGTGGCGTAACCAGTTCTTAGGCTGTAGATGCTTTTGGCTGGGTCTACGAATGTCCACGTGCAAGGTTTGTTGGCCCTCTTTGGCGTTTTCCCCTTCGGATCTCAAGGCTTCTCCTTGTCCCTTCTCCTGCTTGTCTTCTCTGGTTTCTGGTGTGGTAGTGATGGTTAGGATCTGTGCTCTGATCCTCTTTTATCTGTGCTCGTTTCTGCTCGGGGTGTGGTTGTGTGAGCTTGGTTTTGTATCCTTCTCGGGCCTTTCATGTAAAGGCAATCTAATGATGGGTCCTCTTGTTGCTCCTGTTTGTAACCACTTTCCAGCGCCCAAAATGTTCTATGGAAATGTTCGTCGGATTCTTTTCGTGAAGAGTTTGCAGTTGTGTTGCTTGAGTATTAGATATTAGCCTTTCCCTGTACTTTAAGGTTTTCCTTCTTTTATGTCTGCCTTTTTTGGCCTTTGTCTCTGGGGGTTTCCATGTACCCGCCGGCTTAGTTTTCCGGGGGTTAGAGTCCCGCCGGCGTTAGTATTTCACCATGTATCCCAACTTTGTATTTCTCCCTTGGTTATATTTCATGAATTATTCAGACGAAAAAAAAAAAAAAACTAAATGTTTAAATGTTATTTTAAATCCTTGGTACGTAGTAACATACTGTATGTTTTCTGTATAAAAAATACATAAATATGTTGCTATGTATAATGTATGACAAATAATTGTTACTTATATATAAAACTCTAAAATTTTATAGGGACTTGCTTTTTTCATGAATTTTTCATAGAAAAATCAAAATCTTATCATATATGTTTTATCTTATTTATCAAATGTTTTGAGAAAAAATGTTATAAGATAAATTTTGTTCGCATGAGTATACAAGTACACTACATTTATACACATGTTCTTGCTCAGTAGCTGCGCTGTGCAGCGCCTATGCATCGGTACAATGCGCATGGGCCATGGCTATAAAAATCGCATTTTTTTCTACTCCAAAACGTACGTATACATAAAAAACAATTAGACAGATACAAACTTGTTTATATTAGAAAAAAGTTATATCGTTTTACAGTTTTTTTTTTCTTCTTAAAAGTACAACATAACATAAAAAAACCCAAAGAAATTGAGATCTCAAACCCAAATTACAACGCCTTTTATTGTATCAAATGAAACATGTAACTAAAGGTCGCACACACGCAAATCAACTTCCCATTACCAAAGAGATCATGAGCTAACAGATTCTTGAAGAAACGAAACCTTTGGAGTCGTCCAGAGACTCTCAACGTTCTACATTGATTAAGCAGGACATTTGAAGCCAGGTGGTGGAGTTTTTCCACAGTCGAGAAGAAGCTCAAGAGCAATGGGGAGAATAAGGTCGATGTTGAGAAGTTTGAGCTTAATGGTGGTACATAGACAAACGGCTGCGTCTAGGTCAAGTAAACCTCCCAAAACCGGACAACACTCTTCCTTGGCGTGGCTTTTCCCTAGCCCGATGTGAATCAAACCTCCAAGAACGTCCACACAAGCGCCTAGCTTCAGCGTGTCGATTGGGCAGGTCTCTGGAATAGGCGTAGGAGGAGTTGGTGTCGGTGGTGTTACTACGGGTGGTGTTGGTGTTGGCGGTGTCACGACTGGTGGAGTTGGTGTTGGTGGTGTTACTACGGGTGGTGTTGGTGTTGGCGGTGTCACGACTGGTGGCGTTGGTGTTGGTGGTGTAATGACGGGTGGTGTTGGTGTTGGCGGTGTTACGACGGGTGGGGTTGGTGTTGGTGGAGTTATGACGGGTGGAGTTGGTGTTGGCGGTGTAACAACTGGTGGAGTCGGTGCTGGTGTTGGTGGCGGGCACGGTGTAGGTGGAGGCTTGTGGTGGGGCGGTTTCGGAGTAGATGGAGGTGGCTTGGTGGTGGGCGGTTTAGGTGTGGACGGAGGAGGTTTGGTGGGCGGTTTAGGGGTGGATGGAGGAGGCTTGGTTGGTGGTTTTACGATAGGAGGTTTTGGGTGGGGGTGAGGTTTGGTGGGTGGTTTGACGGTGGGTGGCTTGGGGTGGGGTTTGACGGTGGGTGGCTTGGGGTGGGGTTTGACGGTTGGTGGTTTTGGGTGGGGTTTGACGGTGGGAGGTTTTGGGGTAGGTGGTTTTACTGCCGGTGGTTTAGGTGGTTTTACTGCCGGTGGTTTAGGTGGTTTGACGGCAGGAGGTTTAGGCGGTTTGACGGGATGTTTTGGCGGTTTGTGAGGCGCTGGTGATGGTTTAGGAGGGGTACAGTCGCAAGCATATGAGACGGCAACGAAGCCAAGGAGGAGGAGAACGAGAAAGGAGAGGTTTTGAGAGCGAGACCCCATTTTTTAGAATGAGGGTTTGGGTTTGTGAAAGGAGTGAGTAAGTAGATACATGAGTGTACGTGTACCTTTTATAGAAAAACTCTCTTGAGATATTTATTTTTTACATATAATATTGTATGCACCAAATTGTGGTTTAATTAGATTATTGAAATTGGATTTGAGTAAGCACGTATTAGGTCACTTGGTTACAAAAAGAAAACAAAGGGTTTGTCACACTTTCCTCAATTGGCATATATTTGTCTCATCCATATTACAAAAAAAAATTAATTTTACCGGGTTAAGCCAATATTTAACGTACGAGGGAACATGAAAATATATAGAAAAACAAAAAACCACTGTAAGATATAATTTTCAGCATTCGGCGGCATAAACTTTCGCTTAACTATTGTATTATATACTCTGAAAGAAGCGATTATCAAGTTTTAACGATCTTGATTCTTTAAACCTTTTTATATATAATATAAAAAAAAAGAAATTTTCACGTTTCTACTGAAAAAAAGATTTTCTCTCAGTGTTTGGCAAAGTGAGATTTGGTTCTCACATTTTGACAATTAAGCCAAAATCTGACGAATATACCCCTAATGACTTAAACCAAATGGCACAGTTGGTTTCGGTTTAGTTACTTTTTCTTTGTTTTATGGTTTGGTTTTGAATTAAAAAAAAAAAAAAATTCTTGCCCAGAAACCTAGAAGAAAACGAAGAAGAAGAACGAGAGAGATCACAAATCGTCATCAACTTCAAAAACCCACCAAATCGTCATCGTTTTTTAGTCACCGGCGTCGTCATCGTCGAAGCTTCTTCTTTAGCCGGAGAATCTCTCTGGCCAACTTTCGTCATTATCTCTTTCGCTGTCAGATTCAATTTTAACACTCTGTCTTTCTTTACTAAAAAGGAACAAATTTTTTGATATATAGAGAGAGAGCTCTCTGAATCCGATTCATGTTTTGATTTGGGTATATTCTCTCTTACTTAGGGCTTGAATGGCAGTCCGGTACGGCTCCGGTGCGGCGACCCTAATCACGGGGTCACCGGCGAATGGTAGTCCGGTTTCAGTCACCACACAATCACCTTCGTCGTCACCATCATCTTCTTCGTCGACGTCATCTCTGTTGGCGTCTTCTCCTTTATTGTTGTTGATTTCAAAGGAATTATGCTAAATTATGTAGTTTCGGTTAGCAATCAATGTATCGGTTTATGTAGTAATTGGAATTCAGAAATTGCTTTTCTTTATTTATAAACACTATCGAAGAAGTTATGATGGATACACTAGCTTTTGATCTAATAGATAAAGCTTAATATATATTGCACATAATGTGTTCGACCAAATGTCTGAATGAACTTTCTACTTCATAATTTTTTTAAGCCATATATCAACCTCTTCATATTTAGATATTATTTGGTTGTATTCGAAGATGATATTTGCTTTTGAGGACATATTTGATTCTCCCTTTTCTATGCAACCATGAATTAGCTTATGATCATTATCATCGATATATCTTCTGTTTTCATTTTCTAAGGTTCTAAAAAATCATTGATATATTAGTTTATGATTTTTCAAGTAAAAAAAAGCTAAACTGATACTGCATGTTTCATTTTAATACGTTGTCGATTTTTAATAAAATTTTGGTTATTATATTTAAACAAAATGTTTTTACAATTTCTGTATTATTGGCGAATATAATATTTAAAATTATATTAATAAATTTATTTAATATGTAAACTAAAATATGTAATTATATTAATGAAATTTCTGTAACGGGCGTAATGGTTAGTGCGAAAGGGTCAACGGTTGAGATACAAATGTGTGTATGTACACAGACATATCAGAAACGTACGATGGCAAACATTAAACGTACGTACACCGACAAAAAATGTGGTACACATGGTCCAGACATAAACGTACACTGTCTACACGGTGACAAAAAACAAGGACATAAAACTAAATAGGATTTTTGCAAGTCTTCTTGTTATCACCTGCTTGTCTACATCTTGTACACTGATTCGGAAAAAAATCTTTTTTGTCTTTTTTTCTGTAGTGACAACAACAATAAGTTAACAATCAACGCATCTTATACTCTAAACATAGATATAGGCAAATAAGTGCACATGTTAGAATTTTAAAACTTACCCGGTTTTCACCCCTGGATGGTATCACCATCCTTTTGGTGGTTGGTCTCCCTGGTTGTCGTCTACTGTATGGAAGAATTAGTATCATATCCGATATATCTTGTGGGATGACAATATCCTTCCGATCCGCGATAGGTAGAATCGGTTCTTGGAAAGAATCGGAAAACGTTTGAATGCCATAGCACCAACCGTCAACAACCTTCAGATTAATTCCAAATTCTATTGCAGCTGCTAGACCGTGTTCACATGGGATTCTTAACCGCGTGTACATAAGACACGTACACGTACAGTCATCGAGAACGACATGAAAATGCTCACCTGACTTGCTTGTAAAATGATAACTCTACGGTCCAGACATCTTCACCGCGTATTTCCCGGAGGCAGGCAAATCTTGGAGAAAACGCTCGTCAACCTCAGGCGTCACTAAGGATTTACACCTAGCCACTTTTTTCCTCCTTGCTGTGAACCATCGCATAAGGACCTCTCGAATGAACTCTATCATGTATACAATCGGATATGTTTTTGCTTTTGTTAAGACATTATTCATAGCCTCCGAGTTGTTGCTAGACATGATATTGTAGCGTTCCCCTTTGCAGTGAGATCTTGTCCAATGCTCAAATCCAATTTCCTCTAAGTAGTTTGCGCATCCAGGTCTCTTAGCCCTTAACTGTTCAAAGTATTTTTCAAAATCCATCACCCTATAATCTTTAGCAGCACTAAAGAATAATTCAGAAACACCATACTTACCATAATTGGTATCCGTGTACGTAACAAAATCACCTTCGCAACATGTATCTTGTACACAGTCTGTAGTGTACGTACATTGGTACAAACCATGTCGACACGTACATGTTGGAGTCACGGTTGGTGTACTGTCACCCAAATGAGAAATGTTATCTCCGCCAGGTACACGCTGACTTGTGTACGTACACTCTACCAATAGACGACTGAATTTCCCTGGATGTTGAACAGTCTGTTGAGTGAGAATGACGTCCTCCTCAACATTCCCTATTCCATATTCTTCTACAATTACATCGTTCCACTTGTTGTAATCTTAATCTTCGCCACTACCTTCACTACCGACTATAGTAGGAGCGAGGGAACTTCCCCTATAGATCCATCATCACCCTGATGATCATCATACCCATCACCATCTTCCCTGTCCTCCTCCTCTTCATCCTCATCTGTTTTATCGTCTTCAACGTCGTCTTGCTCATCTACGGCCTCATTATTTGCATCCACATTTGAAGCCGCTACGATAGGATTTGGTGTCTTTGCACTCCCACACACACGGTCACTTTCATCATCGTGACCATCGGTCCTAGAGACAGTATTCCCGACTGCCTTGACGGTTGTAATGAAATAGACAAACAAGTTGACACTAGGATCCCCACCACGAATAAAAAAGAATGTATCCAGGCTCATTTGATTGTCAATGTATACAGGAGGGCGTTTACTTTCTATCATCACTGACATCTTTCCCGGCATCCAGTAATTAATTATCGGATTGCATTCGGTGGACTTCAAACTGAAAACCTCGCATAATGTACGTACAAATTCCGTGTACGTCATGTTTTCCTTAACACGTACACAACGACCAAACCAGCCTTCCCATGGTTCAAATTTCCATTCTTCTTCTTTACATCTCCACTAACCCACCATAGTAAATACGGGAATATCCATTACCCACCTGCATCATAAATTCAGCAGAACCCCATTAAATGCAACTGAAAGCATGATTATATCTACAAAAAACAAAAAGAATTCCCAACTACACACTTATATACATAAATCTATCCTCATTTACCATTTTCAACTAAAAAAATTGGAAATAAAAATATTCTGGGTTTTTATATAAAAACAATGTTGATTTCGAACACAATCAAGACCCTAGTGTGTTATAACAAAAAACTTCTTAACCAATTTCATTACTTACACGATCAATGCTTGTCTTGGCTCCAAAATTTGTAAATCAAGAAGATCAAAACTTCTCCAGCATCACATTCGTTCAGATTAATTTGTTTGTTTGATGGATCATGTTTATCTCTTACAACTATTCACACATATAAACAAATATTAGAAAAAATAATGATGACTTTTGCATTAATTGTGACAAGAGTCATGTCTAAACTTTTTGGGCATTAAATCCTGATGTCTCATTGTTTTTTAATGTTATTAATCCCCATTTTTCACTGTACAGCCGCAAAAATCAATTAAAAACGAAAATATATTGCCTAACCGGAACAGTGTACGTAACTGAACCGCATAACTGAACCGTACAGTGAACAGTACATCGTTACGCTGGCAGGGGTAAAATGGTCACATTTTGGCTAAATTGTCAAAACTTGAAAACCAATTCTCACTTTGCCAAAACATGAAATTAAAAGATGGTCTTATGCCCTGGCCTGCAATTTACCCATAAAAAAACGAGGTCGATTGTGATATTCTTTACAAAAATTCATTGTTCGTGTTTGTCTATTAGGTCAAAAGTTAGCTTTTCGAAAAATGCTTTCAACTTTTAAGAATCATGTCTTGCACCTTATTTTTCTAGCTATATCTCAGATCAAATTGCTAAATATCTGACATATATCGAGAAATTAATCAACGCATAAATCAGCTAGAGAAATGTCCCGACATTGTGTCAAGCTCTACTCTAACATTAATTAGAGAATGCCTACTCTATAAGCGTTTATTAGTCACTAAAAAGAAAAAAGAAACAAACCTTCGTTAAGTTATTGGCATACAACTTTTAAAAAGGGTTGGACAGTTCATATTTGTAATATAGAGTGAAAACAATGGGAGCAACCAAAGGTTTTTGTAGTGTAATGGCCAATTGGGTCGACAATTTAAGAAGGGACTTTGTCATTATTATTTGACTTAAAAGACACCTCCCATTCTCTATTTTGATATTTTCTGTAGTCACAAGATATAATTAAGTGAAGACATCCTTCTCACTCTTTTTTTTCTTGTTCCTTGCGAGGTAGGTCCACCTTTTTTTAATAAGGATTTTAGGAAATTTCTTTTGGGTTTTAGTTTGTGTCTCTACCTATACAAAGAGGAAAAGGGAATCGGTTTTGGAATCTTGAAAGTATATCTAAAAAGTTGATAAATCTTCAACAAAGTTTGTGTTTCGTTAGTTAATTATACTAAGATAAATTAGATTACATGTTGAAAGTTTTTACAAATTTATGTAAAAACTACCTCCATAATCATTACCCGGCCTGACCGAAACAATGTTTTTTCGTCTCATGCTTATGAAAGATACAAGCTTATTGCGTCTTTTTAATTATCAGCTTTTGAAATGATTGAATGACGTATGTGATTGATGATTCTCTTTGTAGTTTGTTCACATTATTGTTAGTACTCTACTTGTGATTGATGGTTATACCATATTCATTTTAATATCTGTATATTGACATTATCGCAAAATATAATTTGATTTATTTTCTAGTATATAGTTTTAAGCACTATTCACAATAATTAGCGCTATAAAACCTACTCTGTATATCATGAAATTAAAACTACCATAATTTTGTCCTTCCAATTTATTTATGGTGAAGAAAAAACGAAAAAAGTTATGGACGCAATTATAAAGCTGGCGGGTAGAATTTGGCGGGTAGTAAAAACAGTCTAACCCGTGAAGTCTGTCACATTTTAAGATATAGTTTTCTTTAATAGAAAGAAAAATGAAATGGATAATGTGATGTTATGAATGCATGTGACTCCACCATTTGTCTCTTTGTTTCCTCTCACAACAACGACAATAATTGTAAAAAAAACTTATAGTCGTCTGAGTACTGAGTACTATTCGATAGTGTATAAGAGAAAGAAGACGAGAATAAACTTTCTTCTTTGTATTTCTTCTTTTTAAACATATACAATGTCTGCCCATGGGCATATATTTTATACACTCTTTCTCGACACTTGTCTACATTGTTATCATTTCACAGTGCTAGGGATTTGCAAAGAATCAAATCGATTGCTAAATACGAGGTTTAGTTTGATCAAAATCTTTTCATAATCAAGTCGTCATTCCGCCGCAATCCATTTTCAATGACATTGACCGGCTGATCAAAAACTCCATTACAGCAAGGAGGAGGAGAAAGAAGTTCAAGAACCTCATGACTCTCTGGCTCATCTAAGGAATCCTGTTCTTTCCTGTTTCTTGAGATTGTGTATTATCAAATGTTTCCTTGTTTTTTATTATTTTTTGCCAAGGATCATTCTCTAGGTCTTATTGTAACACCTAAACTTTTCATATAATGATATTAACTTTCTTAGCAAAAAAAAAAAAATCTTTTCTTCTAACGAGCAATCTGAACTTAACATGCTCTAGGTCATTAGGTGTGACTTGTGAGACGACAGAGAGGAAAGTGACGTGGCTGAGCTCATTTGCATGGGTTTTGTATTTGTGTTGTTGTTTTGTTTGGGCTTGTTGAGATGTTGAAGTTGGGCCTCTAGAGTTGAGCTAGACTTCTGAAATTACGAATGAATTCATCAATTCAACAATATAGGCTTTGATTGGTAAGTTAACCAATGAGTTATCATTGGTTTTCATTTATGTTTTACATATTTGCACGATGAATCGATTATTTAATATAGTTTCCAATATAGTTATTAGTAATATATTTGAATATATTTTATGATTTAATTAATTCTTCTAACTTGGAGTCAAAATAATTTTCATTTTAATTAAATCAATATAGTTTTCTATATAATTTGCTAATATTGTGTTAAATTTTTAGTGTCATATAAACAAATGATGTGAAAACATCATTAACTTAACGATTCAGTAAAGTGATGCAAAAACATATATACATCATTGCAATGTGCATGGCTATGAAAAAACTACATTTCTTTACCCCACGAACTACTTAAGTAAATAAACATTTCTTTTATATTAAAAGCTATCTCGTTTTATAGCTTTTCTTCTTTCTTAAAGATACAATATGAAAACCGAAAGAAACTGAGATCTTAAACCCAAACGAACCTTTTATTGTTTAAATGAAACAAGTAATTACTAAAGGTCGCAAACATGCAAGTAAACCACCGGTTACTCATGAAACCAACAAATTCTTAAATAACGAAACATTTAGAGATGTCGAGAGACTCTCACCACTCTATATTCATCACGCGGGACACTTGAAGCCAGGTGGTGGATTTTTACCACAATTAAGGAGAACTTCAAGAGCTATGGGGAGAATGAGGTCCACGTTGAGAAGTTTGGCTTTAATAGTGGTACATAAACAAACGGCTGCGTCTAGATCAACTAAACCTTCCAAAACTGGACAACATTTTTCCTTGGTGCTTTGCCCAATTCCAATGTGAACCAAACCTCCAAGAACGTCAACGCACGCACCTAGCTTCAACGTATTAATTGGACAAGTCTTTGGTTTAGGCATAGATGTTGGCGGTGTGGCAATGGGAGGAGCTGCGACGGGTGACTTTGCGATGGGAGGTGTTGCGACTGGAGGTTTTGTAACCGGCGGAGTTGCGATAGGCGGCATTGCAACTGGCGGTTTTGCAATGGGTGGTGATGCGACTGGCGGCTTTGCCATGGGTGGAGTTGCCATAGGAGGCTTTGCGACGGGAGGTGTTGCCGGCGACATTTCACTGGGACACTTAAAGCCAGGTGGTGGTTTTTTCCCACAACCAAGGAGAACCTCAAGAGCTATGGGGAAAATAAGGTCGATGTTGAGAAGTTTAGCTTTAATAGTGGTACATAGACAAACAGCCGCGTCTAGGTCAACCAAGCCTTCTAAAACTGGACAACACTTTTGTTTGGCACTTTGTCCGATTCCGATGTGAACCAAACCTCCAAGAACGTCAACGCACGAGCCAAGTTTCAACGTGTCAATTGGGCAAGTCTTCGGCTTAGGCATAGATGTGGGCGGCGTTGCAACGGGCGGCATTGCAATAGGTGGAGTTGCAACAGGTGGTTTTGCGACAGGTGGTGTTGCGACAGGCGGCTTCGCGATAGGTGGAGTTGCAACAGGTGGTTTTGCGATAGGCGGTGTTGCAATTGGTGGTTTTGCGACAGGCGGAGTAGCAACAGGCGGTGTAGCGACGGGTGGTTTTGCAACTGGAGGAGTTGCGATTGGCGGTGTAGAACCTGGAGGAGTTGCGGTAGGTGGCGTTGCAATAGGTGGCTTTGCAATAGGTGGTGTTGCGGTGGGTGGCTTTGCGATAGGAGGAGTTGCAACCGGTGGGGTTGCTACGGGTGGCTTTGCAATAGGCGGGGTTGCAACGGGCGGCGTTGCAACAGGCGGTTTAGAGATAGGTGGAGTTGCTACTGGTGGCATTGTGGTGGGCGGCGTTGCAACAGGTGGCTTTGCAATAGGTGGTGTTGCGGTGGGTGGCTTAGCGATAGGTGGAGTTGCTACTGGTGGCATTGTGGTGGGCGGTGTTGCAACAGGTGGTGTTGCCACCGGTGGCTTTGAAACAGGCGGAGTTGCAATAGGTGGTGTTGCAATAGGTGGCTTTGCAATAGGCGGGGTTGCAACGGGCGGTGTTGCAACAGGCGGCTTAGCGATAGGTGGAGTTGCTACTGGTGGCATTGTGGTAGGCGGTGTTGCAATAGGTGGCTTCGAAACAGGCGGAGTTGCAATAGGGGGTGTTGCAACAGGTGGCTTTGCAATAGGCGGGGTTGCAACGGGTGGTGTTGCAACGGGCGGCTTAGCGATAGGTGGAGTTGCTACTGGAGGCATTGTAGTGGGCGGTGTTGCAACCGGTGGTGTTGCAACAGGAGGCTTTGAAATAGGCGGAGTTGCAATAGGTGGTGTTGCAACAGGTGGCTTTGCAATAGGCGGGGTTGCAACGGGCGGCGTTGCAACAGGCGGCTTAGCGATAGGTGGAGTTGCTACTGGTGGCACTGCGGTGGGTGGTGTTGCAACAGGTGGCTTTGCAATAGGTGGTGTTGCAATAGGTGGTGTTGCAATAGGTGGCTTTGCAATAGGCGGGGTTGCAACGGGCGGCGTTGCAACAGGCGGCTTAGCGATAGGTGGAGTTGCTACTGGTGGCGTTGCGGTAGGCGGTGTTGCAATTGGTGGTGTTGTAGCAGGTGGCTTTGAAACAGGCGGAGTTGCAATAGGTGGTGTTGCAACAGGTGGCTTTGCAATAGGTGGTGTTGCAATAGGAGGAGATGCAATAGGTGGTGTTACAACTGGTGGCTTTGCTATTGGTGGCGTTGCAACTGGTGGGGTTGCTACGGGCGGCTTAGCGATAGGTGGTGTTGCTACTGGTGGCGTTGCGATAGGCGGTATTGCAATAGGTGGAGTTGCAACAGGCGGTGTACTGACAGGTGGCTTTGCGATAGGAGGAGTTGCTACAGGTGGAGTTGCAACTGGCGGTTTTGTAGTGGGAGGAGTTGCGACAGGCGGCTTTGCGATTGGAGGAGTTATTGTGGGAGGTACCGCAACGGGTGGTGTTGCTATAGGAGGAGTTGCGACGGGCGGCTTTGCGACCGGTGGCGTTGCGACTGGAGGTGTTGCGGCTGGAGGATTTGTGGTAGGTGGAGTTGCTATCGGTGGTGTTGCGGTCGGGGGAGTTGCAACAGGTGGAGTCGCGACAGGTGGCGCTTCAATGGGAGGAGCTATTGTAGGCGGAGTTGCTATAGGCGGAGTTGCAACGGGCGGTTTAGTAGTAGGAGGAGTGGCAACAGGAGGTGTTGTAACAGGCGGTTTTGCAATGGGAGGAGTTGCTATAGGAGGAGTTGTGACGGGCGGTGTTGCTACAGGAGGAGTTGCAACAGGAGGAGTTGAAACAGGAGGAGTTACTATAGGAGGAGTTGCGACAGGCGGAGTGGCAGTAGGCGGAGAAGTAACTGGCGGTTTTGCAATCGGAGGAGTTGCGATGGGCGGTGTTGCGATAGGTGGAGTGGCAATGGGAGGAGTTGCGATGGGCGGTGTTGCGATAGGTGGAGTGGCAACGGGAGGAGTTGCTATAGGCGGAGTTGCAACTGGCGGCATTGCGACGGGTGGTTTTGCAATGGGAGGTGTTGCGACGGGCGGAGTTGCAACGGGTGGCGTTGAGATAGGCGGCTTTGCGATGGGAGGTGTTGCGGTAGGAGGTGGTTCTACAGGAGGAGTTGCCACTGGTGGTGTTGCAACGGGTGGAGTTGCCACAGGTGGTGTTGCGACTGGCGGTGTTGGTGCGCACGGTGGAGGTTTGGGAGTTGACGGAGGAGGCTTGGTCGTTGGAGGCTTAGGAGTTGATGGCGGAGGCTTGACGGAGGGTGGTTTCGGAGTAGACGGAGGAGGTTTCGGGTGGGGATGAGGTTTAGTGGGGGGTTTAGGGTGGGGGTGTGGTTTGACCGTGGGTGGTTTCGGGTGGGGATGAGGTTTGGTAGGGGGTTTAGGGTGAGGGTGTGGTTTGACGGTAGGTGGTTTAGGGTGAGGGTGTGGTTTAGGGTGAGGGTGTGGTTTCACGGTAGGTGGTTTAGGGCGGGGGTGTGGTTTAGGGTGTTTGGGGGTGTGCGGAGGTGGTTTTACAGAGGGGGGTTTCGGATGGGGGTGAGGTTTTGTGGGGGGTTTAGGATGGGGGTGTGGTTTAACGGTGGGTGGTTTAGGCGGTTTTATTGCCGGTGGTTTAGGTGGGACGACAGAATGTTTTGGTGGTTTGTGGGGTTTAGGTGATGGTTTAGGAGGGCTACATTCACGAGCGTATGAAGCAGCTAGGAAACCAAGGAGGAGGAGAATTAGAAAGGAGAGGTTTCGTGTGCGAAACCCCATTTTTGAGAAACTGGAGTTCAGTGAGTTAGTAAACAATACGAATAAGTAGTTCCTATTTATAGAAAAATATTCTAGGATATTTTTGTGTATATTATATTGCAAGGAAAAATTGGGATTAGGCGATTGAAATTTGATTTGATTAAAGACAATAAAGATTTTTGTCGGGCTTTCCTAAATAGGCGTATATTATGTGTAATAGATTCTTATCTTTTTAGGAAAAATTAGGACAACATTCTCTACTTAGATTGATTAAGACTCGTTGGTTTTTGGTTAACGGTTAAAACATATTTCAAAATTTTATCGTTTAAAAAAATTGTTCAACGATCTCCAATGTTATTGAAATCATGGTCTAAAAAAATTGTCTTGCATCTTACAATTCCAGATTGATTTGCTAAAAATCTATACCATGAAATCAAAGCCATAAATCAGAGAAATGTCCCGGCATATTCTCAAGCCCTAGTCTATAAACTTTTAGAAGTCACTAACTTAACCTTTGCTATATGATGATCGACATAAATAATTTTTTTTGGACGTAATCATAATTTGTAATTATTGGTTGAAAACGATGGGAGCAAGCAAATGTTTTTGTAGGGTAATGGCCAGTGTGTAAACAGTGAAATGTATGAAGGAATGTTATCATTATTATTTGACTTAAGAGGCATCGCCCATTCTCTACTCTTTTTAGTCACAAATAATTAAACACATCATTTTCTCTCATTTAGGTCCACTTTTGGGTGTTAGTTTGTGTCTCTACCTAAAGAAGAAGTGGAGAATCAATTTTGAGTAGACTCAAATCTATGATATATAAACCTATAGATTTGTATATATATTGGTTGATAAATATAGAACCATGTTGTTAGGTTTCAGTGGCTAGTGGCTACTAGATATATAAATCTGTTTACAGGTGAAAAGTTTCATTAATTGATGAAACAATCCCAACATAATAAATTTCTTACCGTTGAAGTTAGTATATTTTGACGATGAAAAATTGAAAACCAATCAATCTCCAGGAGTAAACTGGACTAGTTTATGGTAATTGATTCTTGAATCAAATTAACGACTTCGTTAAGTCCAAGAATTGGTTTGCTTTGATATTGGTTTTGCGGTTAAAAGTGAAATCAAGGAGGTTGATAGTTTATTTTAACAGAGAGCTCTTTAAAACTAGAGATAGGATTGATCTTTAGGCTTGTTAGAGTGAGATCAAGCTTGTGCAATATCTGTAACTTTGAAGCTATATTGAATTGCTAGTGTTGCCGAGCCGAAACATAGGCTTTCCCACATCTAGAATCTAACTCGTAAACGTGATCACTTGTATACATTATTCTTTTTCTTCTTTTTACTATTCATTTTGTTAGTTCTTTCAAGTTCTTCAGTTTGATTTCATGAATGGGAGTAAGATTGAGTGTAAGAAAGAGATCAATAATTAAGCTGAAGTTGACCAAGTTAACGAATCCAAGAGTACAATATATTAAACCAGTTTGTTAGGTTTTCAATGGTTACTAAATAATTTTGTTTACAGATAAAAGTTACACTAATTGATGAAATAATTTTTGTCTCTTGAGTTGAAGTTTTATCTATACATATATCAGTACGTATCATGAGTTCAAACAATAATTTTATGATCAACAAGAAAAGGAAAAATAATTTTATGATCAATATCATCTCGAAAGAACGTAATAGGATCCTACATCCAAAATTAAATAGGGCATGTTAAGATTCTACATTCGAAGTCAAAGATAAATAAAATAATTTATAAGGTTTAAGAGCTAGCTAATCCATTCATTATATTATTAGTTGATTTTGACTTGGAATAGCATAAAACTTAACATTTACCTTCTAATTCATTTTCTATAATACGGTTCAAAACTAACATCGGGGCTTCTTATATATATATATATATTTAAATTGACCCATTTTGTGCTAAAATCATAAAACTAAATTATCAAAATTTTGTACTTCCGATTTTTCCTTTTTTTTTGTATATTTGAAACTTTATAAATTAAACAATGTACAGACTGAAGAAGGTAAATAAGAAAAGGAGAGATATAAAAATGGAATATAAAACTCGATCATTGGATTTTAGCTTTTTAGGCTTTTAGCTAACATATAATATCAGCCGACCTGTTCGAAGTTTTTAAGATCCAAATGAAAATAACATCTTCAATTCTGTCCTTCCGGAATAAATTTATGGACGCGGTTACAAGGTGGCGAGTACGATTCGGCAGATTGTTAAAATAGTGTAACCCGTGAAAGTATGTTACTTTTAGGATTTAATTGTCCTTCAAAAAAAAAGAGAAATGGATAATATGCGACCTTGTGAATGACTCTCGTGGGTGCATGTGACTCCACCATTCATCTCTTTGATTCCTCCCCAAACCGCGACAAGAATTAAAAAAAACTAGTGGTCGGAGTACTCATGAGTACTTGTCGTTTAGACACGTCGGTCCATGACCAGCAGATAAGAGCAACAAACTAGAACATCAGACAACGATCATCGTTTGGATGTTTTCTTTCCACTTCTAAAATGTTGCCGACTTGCCATTTTACAAGTCTTAAGAAAGAAGATTTAATGGCAACCTGTTGTGATCAAATATATTTGTTTGTTCCTTAGCGATTTTAGATATTTTTGGCAAGACAATATATGCTAGCAATTAGCATAATGGTTTATCAATGTTGTGATTAATTATATCTTCTTTAGGTTCGAGGTTTTGTATGAAAGAAAGTTAGTTCGGAACTTCTAAAAACTATTTTCATGCAATCGTATGTCTAAACATTAGTTATTACAACAAGATAACCAACAGATAGTTGGACTAGCTGACTAGCTAGCTAGTGGTGAGAGTTAGACCCCTCTAAAAAGGTACGTAGTCTAGTTTTTCTAGTTTGATTTCTTGTTGAGAAAAGCTATTTAGTTATATAAGTATAACGAAGATGCATGTGGTTTGCATTTGCAACAAGGAATTTCTAAAACTATTTGGAATCCGATCTTCTATAATCCTTTTTCGATTCAACACCTTATGTTTTTTTTAATTCAAGCATCAATTCAAACAATTTCAGCTAGCACCTTAGGGAAAAAGATGCATTATATCGTAATATAAGCATCACAAAATATCAAATATTATCATCAAAATACTAATACGCTGTAAAAATTTCTTTAGTTACAAAAAGTAAATCTTAATAGCCACAAATAATTCAAAAATATTGACGTATGTGTTTGAAGAAGTGATCTTTCTAATACATAAATTTGCGAGGGAACATGAGATAATATACTTTAAACAAAATTTATCAGTTTTGAAATATTTATCTATTAAAAAAGTTTGATTCTTCTCTTTTTTTTTTTTGGTCAAAGTTTGATTCTTCTCAAAAATTAATTTTTATTCGAATGAAAATTTATAAGAACCAATCCAATTTTTCTAATTGATTGAACGAATCAGATTTTGAATTAGTTTGATATCTTTTCAAAGTTAAACAATGGATACTATTTTAACTAAATTTAGTAGAGAGGGCATATACTCCGCTTAGTTTTCTACGTATATATGATTGTGAAGGTTTTGGGATATTATGCATTATTGTATTTCCAATTATAATAAATATATTTTTATGTTTTTTTTTTTTTTCACACAAATTAAGAAGTAGAAGAACTCTGTTATACCTCTGCAAAGCAAGTTGACTTTTGATTCTTTGTTTTGTTGATAAAACTTTGATTCTTTATTTATTTATTTTAAGCCACATTTTTATTTCAAAAATTCAAAATTACATTGGTATTGAAAATAAAATAAAAATAATGAAAAACGTCACTTAACTTAAAATATACAAAGTAAAAATAATTTTTGTTATTAATAATTTCTTTGATCTCTTAGTATTATTGATTTTGAAGATATTTATCTATTAGTATTACTGATCTTTTGTCTTATCTCTTAGTATACGTACTATTATTGATTTCGAGACGTCTATTCTGCAACTACAAGGCTCCCCCCAAAAAATAAATTTATAACTATCGTTTAGCGCCTAAAGATGCCAAAGAAGCGTTAATATTATTTATTATAGACTCCGAATATTATATTGTTGCACAAAAATATCAGAACTCTAAAATTCCGTGACAATCATGATTGTATTGTATACTACAAATTATCTATTATTTCTTATCATTTCTTTCAGATGATCCTTTAATTTTTGTCATAATTTAGCCATTAGCCACTGTAACGTATATTTTCTGCTATATTTTTGTCTGGATTTGAATTTTATTACGCTACATTTAGTTAACTCTGAAACAAGCTAGGGTTTGATAACATGGTAATCCGACTGAAAAATTTATTCAAAATTACAGTGGCTAATGGCTAAATTATGTTTGCTATTTCGTAAATATATTTCCAGCACCAAAGTATAAATATCCACGTTATATTTTTGTCGCAATCGATGTGTTTCATATATATGAAATAATACATATACACTGCTTGATAACAAAAACAAAGAAAATACAATGTAGTTCATGTTGAAGAAGTGAATGCAGTTCACACTTGCAAAAAGAAACGCATGCGTATAAATAATACATGTATGTGTGGAGCCTATAATCACTATGCATGCACGATAATATATAGTACATTTTGTCATTGTGTATACGAATACGATCATTGATAAATCTCGGTTCACTTTGACTAATCAAAAGCATAATACAGAGAGTGTACTTTTTTTTTAGTATTTTTGATGAATATCTTTCTCTTCCTAAGATTTGTTTTTTCTCTTTTCGAATTTCGATATTAGTATTAGACTACATATGTATAGTTAAATCAATAGAACCTGAACGATATTACAAGCTTTGCATAACCGTTTTGTTGACTATACTTAGTCTAATAGATATGTCATTGTTAGTGTATAAAAAAAACTATAGTGTTATTAAAAGAAATAAAAAGGATGAATTTTGTTAGGAACCGATCCGAACCCAAATCCTAAATTTTTAAATATTCGAACGGGTCGTCTTAGACTTGAAAACCCAAAAATCCGAACCCGAATCCAAGCCAAACCTGAACCCGAACATGTATCCCAACATACTTGAAATTTATGTATATACTAATGTTATATTAGTAATATTTTTACTTGTAATAAGCCATATACTTAAAATATTCTGATTTTTTGATTATTTTGAGTATTTTCGATTTTTTGTGGATACATTCAAGTAAAGATATTCGTGTTTTGTTTAGGAATTTTCAAATAATTTCATAGATTTGGATAATCCGAACCGAACGGAACCAAATCCTAACCAAAATTTTGAAATATCCGAACAGATACTAAATTTTAAGATCCGAAAAACCTAAATCCCAAAAATCCGATCCAAACTTAATCCGAATATCCGAACGTCCACGCCTATCGGGTTGGGCGACTCGAAGAAGTTCCGTTGTCAAAAGGAAGCTACTTAAAGCCCATTAATAGGTGGCTGTATGTAAGCCATCCTAGAGGCCCAAAAAAGACGGACAAAGGCCCAAAACGAATTTTCGAATACGCGAATATAAAATAAAAATTACGTGTTCTCGGCAAAAATTGATATTTTGCGGATAATATAGGAGAAATTTCGTAAAGTCAGCTGAAAAAAACTAACAAAACAAACTCTTATCTATCATATCACTGAACCTTAAAAAGATGATAACATAGAGAGATAGAGAGAAGGAAAACAGAGCCAATAAAGGCTCTTCCTTTTTTCTTCAACATCTCCTTCTCAATGGCCGGATCAGCTCTACCTCTTCCACCACCTCCACCACTATCATTACAATCTCCATCGCAAAATCAAACCCGTCATTCTTCTACCTTTTCTCCACCAACCCTCACTCCTCAAACACCTTCTATACGTTCCCGTCTCAGTAAAATCTGTCAAGATGGAAATCCACAACTTGCACGCCAACTGTTCGACGCAATTCCTAAACCAACTACTGTTCTATGGAACACTATCATCATCGGGTTTATTTGTAATAATCTACCACATGAGGCTCTTCTTTTCTATTCCCGGATGAAAAAGACGGCACCTTTCACTAAATGTGATGCTTACACTTACTCTTCTACACTCAAGGCGTGTGCTGAGACTAAGAATTTGAAAGCTGGTAGAGCTGTGCATTGTCATTTGATTCGTTGTTTACAGAATTCGAGCAGGGTTGTGCATAATTCTTTGATGAATATGTATGTTTCTTGTTTGAATGCTCCTGGAAGTGAATTGGATTGTTTTGAGTACGATGTGGTGCGTAAAGTTTTCGATAATATGCGTAGGAAGAACGTTGTGGCTTGGAATACGTTGATTTCTTGGTATGTGAAAACAGGGAGAAATGCAGAAGCGTGTAGGCAATTTGGGATAATGATGAGAATGGAGATAAAACCGAGCCCGATTAGTTTTGTCAATGTTTTTCCTGCGGTTTCGACTTCTAAAAGTATTAAGAAAGCTAATGTTTTTTATGGTTTGATGCTTAAATTGGGAGATGAATATGTGAAGGATTTGTTTGTGGTTAGTTCGGCTATTTCTATGTATGCTGAGCTTGGTGATCTTGACTCATCAAGGAGAGTATTTGATTCTTGTGTTGAGAGAAACATCGAGGTTTGGAATACGATGATAGGTGTTTATGTTCAGAATGATTGTCTAGTTGAAAGTATTGAGCTTTTTCTTGAAGCAATAGGATCAAAAGAGATTGTGTCGGACGAAGTAACATTCCTCTTGGCAGCGAGTGCTGTTTCGGGGCTGCAGCAAGTAGAATTGGGCAGGCAGTTTCATGGTTTTGTGAGCAAGAACTTTCGAGAGCTACCGATTGTGATAATTAACTCGTTGATGGTGATGTATTCAAGGTGTGGTTCTGTGCACAAGTCATTTGGAGTCTTTCATTCGATGAGAGAGAGAGATGTTGTATCTTGGAACACTATGATCTCTGCATTTGTCCAAAATGGCCTAGATGATGAAGGATTGATGCTGGTTTACGAGATGCAGAGGCAAGGGTTTAAGATTGATTACATAACTGTGACAGCTTTGCTTTCGGCTGCATCAAATCTTAGAAACAAGGAGATCGGGAAGCAGACTCATGGTTTCCTTATCAGGCAAGGCATTCAGTTTGAGGGAATGAATAGTTACCTTATCGACATGTATGCTAAGTCAGGTCTAATTAGGATATCACAGAAGCTTTTTGAAATAAGTGGTTATGCTGAAAGAGATCAAGCTACTTGGAATTCTATGATTTCCGGGTACACGCAGAATGGACACACAGAGGAAACATTTCTAGTGTTCAGGAAGATGTTAGCACAGAATATCCGACCCAATGCGGTAACTGTGGCATCAATTCTCCCTGCTTGTAGCCAAATAGGTAGTGTCGACTTAGGTAAACAGCTACATGGTTTCTCTATCAGGCAATACTTGGATCAGAATATATTTGTCGCTTCTGCGTTAGTAGATATGTATTCAAAGGCAGGAGCAATAAAGTATGCAGAAAACATGTTTTCTCAAACGAAAGAGAGAAACTCCGTGACATACACCACAATGATATTGGGGTATGGTCAACATGGAATGGGCGAGAAAGCTATCTCGCTGTTTCTCTCAATGCAAGAGTCGGGAATCAAACCCGATGCTATCACCTTTGTTGCAGTGTTATCAGCTTGCAGCTATTCAGGTCTTGTGTATGAAGGTCTCAAAATATTCGAGGACATGAGAGAAGTTTATAACATTCAGCCTTCAAGTGAGCACTATTGCTGCATTACAGACATGTTGGGGAGAGTTGGGCGGGTTAATGAAGCCTACGAGTTTGTTAAAGGACTTGGTGAAGAAGGGAACATAGCTGAGCTGTGGGGTTCACTACTCGGGTCTTGTAGACTACACGGTGAGATTGAGCTTGCTGAAACTGTTTCAGATAGGTTAGCTAAATTAGATAAAGGGAAGAACTTTTCCGGGTACGAGGTTTTGCTCTCAAATATGTATGCTGAGGAACGAAATTGGAAGAGCGTTGATAGGGTGAGGAGAGGAATGAGAGAAAAGGGTTTAAAGAAAGAAGTTGGTCGTAGTGGGATTGAAGTTGCAGGTCATGCCAACTGTTTTGTGTCTAGAGATCAAGACCATCCTCACTCTGGTGAGATTTATGATGTAATCGACGGTTTGGCTAAAGATATGAGAGGCGAGTCGTTTCTGACAACATTGCCAATTGTTACTCCAAATTTGGAATTGGATGAGTGAAAAGAGTGCCAGTAACTCTTTAGCTCTCACAGAACATGGAGATAAAAGCAAGAGGTGATTCAAGGCCTTAAAAGTGGGTAAGCTCTCTGCTTTCTAAAGCTCTTTGTTGGTGACATAGAAGCAACTCTTTATGGTCATAAACACTCTTGCTCATCATTGTCTTCAGCAATTGTTCAAACACCATTAGTCATGTCCGAAATCGAAACTCGACCATGGAGATTTAAACCCATTGTGCAGTTTGATCCTTGTATACAGTATTACAAGCTAATCATGAAGAAGGCAGAGGAGGAACTGGGAAAAACGAAATGTAGATAAACCAACATCATTGTAGTTTCCTTGCTCTCATCTTCATTCTTCACTCTAGGCATCTTCTTCTTGTATACTTAAACTCTTAAAATTATAATTATTTTCATTTTTTTCATAAATTTAATTTTAAAAATGATGAATGGAATTGGAAGGGATTTATACCTAAAATTTTATAAAACAAAATTAAAATGATATAGAGACCTAATAATTTTATTTGCTTTGAGTTTACAAAATAATTATATATAAAAATTAAACAAGTGATTATAAACAGTAGATAATGGCCTAACTGAATAAATAAAAATTACAAATAATGGCCACATCCAAACATAGTCAGAATTTTTGCAAAAAAATATTATTTATATACACATTTTAATGTGGTGGAAGAGCTTTTATTTTGGTTTACACATGTGATTACTATTGCAAATAGTCAAATACCATATGCTTGGAGTTTGAAAATTACATGACCATCTAAAAAACTAGAACTCAACCACTAGTCCACCACTACATAAACTTATAAGAAATACCTATATACAAGTAAATACATTTTTTATATAACTACTGCAAAAACTGGTAGGTGAAAGAATTTTAGAAACTTCAATTCAATCCATCCATGTGGTTTAATCACTTTTTAGTCTACTAGTTGTTAAAAAGGTAATTTTCAGTTTTTTTAAATATAATTTTCATAAGTTATAGATATTTACAAAATAAATTTAAATTTACATTTAATACATAAGAAATATAATTTATCAAACTATTATCATCACCGAAATTGAATGAAGTTTCTATTTATAAATTCATTTAAAAGAATTTTTTTTTTGCTGAGAATGTTTATAGTCATTGATAATGAAATTACTAAATTAAATTCATTTTATAGAATACATGAGCTCATTTGAAACATGAACATATCTGATGTGGGGGAGAGATATATAATTTAGTTATATATAAGTATAACATACGAATCTATAAAGATAAAAGATTCTTAGTGTCTTTAAAAATGTTTTGTAAGTGGTCATTGAACTCAAAATGTAAAATTAAGAAATGAAAAAGAAGTGAAATTTCACTGTAAGGGGAATATATAGGACCCACAATGTGTTTAGATTCATCCCCTCTTCCCAACCCATTTCTCACTCATTTTTTGTCATATCGTCAATTTATTATTCCTTTATATTATTTATCTTTATCATCTACAAGAAACACGACTACGGCATGATAAATTATTCTCTTTCTTTTAATTTATGGATTTATCGTAAGAATCTAAAACCTAAAGACAAATGCCAAAAAAAAAAGAAAAAAAGAAAAAAAAAAATATGTAAAGACATATACTCTAACTATATGTTATCTCTTGTGAATGCGAGAGGCTTTGGTTTATCAGCCAAACTCTATATTACATCGATCGATCTACGTCAAAGACCCGTCTCACTCTAAATCATAATTACAAATTACAGTCATAATCAATATTAGCTCGACGGATTTAAAAGAAAAGAAAAAAAACGATAACGTAAGAATCTAGACATGTTGGTAGCCTAACTTCACCAAAACACTATGTTTCCGAACGAAAGGCAAGTTTGGTTTCTCTATGATCTAATAGACTTTTCCTCCATAATTTATTGTTAAAGATTATTCAATTCAGGTCTTTGTAGAAAAATTTATTTCAAAATTATCAAGAGAAAAAAGAAAACCCTAATAACTTTCAGAATTAAAGCCGATTAAATTGTGAAAAGGAAATGGCTAATCACTGTTTTTTTCTTTCGACAAGTCAAATGATGATATGAAACTGTATACCATGCCATACGGAAAATAAATTATAAAGATTCATATTCTCTATTATTGCGCTAATTTGGTAAAGTTACATTCACATTAATTTCATGTGTCCCAATATATACTATGCAATAAGAATACAAAAGTTGGAGATAAGCTAATTGCCAATTTCCTCCATTCTCTGCACGTTTTATATGCATTTCTTTGACTAATGTATGAGAATTTTATTCTTTCACATGCACTTGAGAACTTCACGTGAAAATGTTTGATGTTTCTAATTTTAAAAAAATGAATTCCATATATGAAAGATAAATTTATTTTCTTGAAAAAATATATTGATCTGTTTGGAAAATACTTTTTTTTTTTCTTTTTTTAATGGACAGTTTTGCAATTTGGAATGCAAGCATGCAACTTCAGCATTGGATATATGCATATTTTGGTCCATGACAACGCCATAATTAAACAAACTTATGCTAAAAGCCTAAAAAATGGATAAAATCACAAATATGAAAGAAAAAACTTAAATATACAAAAGTCAAAGTTTTCATTCTATGACAAAGAAAGTCAGTACCTAACATTTCTGCCTTTATGCGAAAACCAAAAAACAAATTCAAAAAGAATCCAATCGTTTTCTCATTGGAACCTCGAAGAAGAAGTATTACTATTCGTAGCCTCCTTAGACGACGGTGCAGAACCTCCTCCACCCGAACCATCCACCGTCCCAAACACACCGGAAACCACCATATTAGGGTTGTTCATGTTACTATATCCAACCACGGGATTCACGTTGTTCAAAGAAAACATGTAAGGCCGTTGCGGTGGCTGCAGCGGCGCGTGAGGCTGGAAATTATATTGCCAAGGAGCTTGTTGAGAAGATCCAGCTGATGGATCCGACGAAGAGGTGAGACTAAAACCAGAGGTAGTACTACCGGACCCGAAAGCCATAGCGGATGGACCGCCAGTGTATTGCTGAACCATGGCACGGAAGTTGGAAGTGTCGGTGTTGAGAAGCGTTGTTGGTGTTCTACGTGAGGCTCTGGATCTTCTACGTGTTGGCTTGGTTACACGGCCAGTTTCTGGACTCAGACGAGAGTCTATGGAGGTGGTATCGCCGGCAGTGGTGGTTGTGACAGCGGTTGAAGCGGTGGTGGAAGTTGTGAAGAAGGTTTGGTTATTGTTGTAGAACTGAGACCACTCGTTGGGGTTAGCCATTTTTTTTGTGTCTAAAGACAAGACTCTGTGAGATTGTAAGAAAGAAAAAAGCATTTGCCTTCGTTAGTTCTTTATATATTTATTTGATTGTGTTTTGATTAAGACTTAGTCAAACGAAGACTATTCTAAATCAATCATGACCGTTGATTTTTAATTACAATTGATTTTTTTGGCTTTGGATTAAATTGTATTTTTAACGTACTTTATTAATATGTTTAATCTGATTCGATAATATCATAATTTGGAAAATAATAAAATAATAGACCTTTGAAAGTTACAATTAGTTGAATTTTACCAATAAACTAGAGTTTAGTTTGGTATTGGCTACTTTCCCAACAAGTTGACGAAATTGGCCCATTTCACTGTGTGTGTATACTTTTGTTAAAATACTTAATAAGTCCCTCACTTTACATAATCGTCACAAAGCTGACGGCATAATCGTCCTAATGAAACGTTAAGATATTCATAATCACGCTGCCTCTTGCCTGCTTAGTGCTTAGTGTAGTAGCCGTTTTATATAGCACACTAGATACTTAATATGCTTAGTGTAGTAGCCATATTATATATATGTCATGACTCATGAATTAAATAACGACGGTCGTACGATAATAATGACATACATTTGCTATATACTATATACTATATACTATATACATGTGTATCATATATAAACATGGACGTAAATAAAATATTGTACACTGAAAGTTTTGTTCAAGCCATAACATATGGGAAGTCTATAGACTGTTTTATTAATCCGCCAAAACAATTTTTTTTTTTGCTACACATGTTAATATATAGTATTAAAATAAAAGTTGAAGCGCTACAAAAATGTTAGAGCTATATAATTGTTCCTTTGTGAAAATAAAAAAACAAAAAAAAACAATGAAACAATGAAGTTGAAATAAAATGTTTATCTTCATTGGAGTCAAATTAAATGGCCATTAAGTTACTAAAATAATGCTTGTGTCTCCCGGCTGTGACTGTATTGCGGACTAATCTATCCATTTTTCTAAAAATCGTTGTTGTAGGAACTAAGTAAAAATTGTGAATGAGATTGTTTCTCTACTTTCAGATGTTGTGGGTTACGGTTTGTATCACCAATTTTCTAAGAAGCTTGAAAGATCTCTTTGTATTTGTGAATGGCCATTTAATTTGAAGGTCATTAAGAAAAAGATTCAAGAACTTCCACCACCGCTTCAACCACTGTCACAACCACCACTTGATAGTCAATAAATTAGAAGGTCATTAAGAACAAGATTCAAGTACTTGTGGCTAAGAATAGTTAATGTAACCATATATGATGTAAAGAAAAATGTCTGTATTATCAAATTTCGTAGGAAATTCAAGATATGTCATGTGAAGTACGTATAGTATGATACACTTTTCTTAACCCTTGAAGGCTATTGATTAATTAAGATAATGATTCTTTAAAACCAGTGTGGTTAATAAACTAAAGAAAGATTAGATACTACTAGTATTTTCATAATGTAGAGGTATCATTTACGTAATTTATTAGGACTTAGTGGACATAAATTAATTGACGGGTAGGTGACTTTTGAATGAAGGAGACGACCGAAAAAGAAACTAGTGAGAAATTTCAAAGAAAACCATAATCTAATTCTAACGTCGTAATACGTAACAGGAACTACATCATCCTTCTCTCTCTTTTTTTTTTCCTTTTGTTACAAATTTTGAATCAAAATATATAGACACTTCTAGAAGTATGAGATACTGGTAGTTTACTTATATATATAAAAAAAAAAAGACACTTCAAAAGTAGTTATTCTTTTGAATCAAACGACTGTGCATCATAATCCTTTAGGTAAACTTTTAACAATTTCAGTTATAGATGATCACTTCATTATATTATACTGTACATTGTTGTCTCTTGAACAATCCTTTGAACCCTAATGCAAGAATATGTTCTTCAGTGAAATCCGACTTTGCTTTGAAGTAAACTTTCCGTGAAAGCAAAACCTCAAGTTCATGAACCCTAATACATACTCCTAACAACTCTTTAGCTTCTTACTTGATACTCAAGTTCTCTCTAATTTAGCACTAGTACAAGCTCATTTCCAAATCAATCAAACACTACAATTATTTATTTCAATTCCTATTCTTGTACAAAGTTCCTTCTTTAATCATTTACTAACAGAAACACAAATATACTTGGCATGAATTTTGGCATCCACATCTATCTCATAGGAAGGTTGAAAAAGTTTGGTGTTATTATGCAGAAATAAAAACACAGGGCTAAAATCGGAATATAAGAAATTTTAGGGAGTGATTTTAAAATATGGTAAACAATAATTGGAGGATGAATAACAAACCGGATTACAAAACAAACCGGAATTCACACTAAACTCGGTAGATTAAGAGTCATATTAATTAAACCAAAAGCTGATTTTACCCATGTGACTGGAAATCTGTAACTTGTAATTTGAATTTTTGTTTTTAACGGACGTAAAGTTCAGATTAGGGGGGAAAAATCTATTTTCAATTCAAATCCAAATGATCTAACGGAATAAGCCAGGGTATTTTCGTAACTTCGTATTGATTGGCCTAACCACTACAAATAGAAGTTTTGTTTCTTTCATTTCATCAGCGACTCGAAAAAAGCTTCGTCTCTACGATTTCAAATTACTTTCGCGATCAAATTTATCTGATCGGAATCAATCTGTTTCGGCTCCAGCCGGTGATGAATCTGATGGATGCGATCGCATTTTGGAGGAAAATCCTTGTCGCCGCCGTCAAGAGAAGCGTGTGATTGAATCAGAAAACCCTCCGATTACGCAAAAGAATCAGGAATATAATTAACCTAGTTCTGATCGATTTTAAGTTCGTTTTTGGTTCATCGATTGTTTCTTTTACTTCATAATTCTCTTCCGATTATTGAATCTGGGTCAGTTGCTTCAAATGTATCACAAATCCTTCTGATTATCACTAACCTCTTTCTTCGGTTCCAGCCGGTGATGAATCTGATGGATGCGATCGCATTTTGGGGGAAAATTCTTGTCGCCGCCGTCAAGAGAAGCGTGTGATTGAATAAGAAAACCCTCCGATTACGCAAAAGAATCAGGTATATAATTAACCCAGTTATGATCGATTTTAATTGTTTCTTTTACTTCATAATTCTCTTCCGATGATTGAATCTGGGTCCGTTGCTTCAAATGTATTATCACAAATCCTTCTGATTATCACTAACCCCTTTCTTCGGGTTTTATTTTTGGATCCATTTATAGTAATCTTTTAGCGATTTAGAAGAATCAGTGAATTTAGAAGTAGTGTGATGATGATGATCTTCAATTTGTCTCTGTTTATTGCTAGTATTTTCTCTGGTTTCAATCATGTAGGTTTTTGATAAACGTTGATTACATGTGGTTTTGATTAAGAAAATCTAGCGATTTAGAACTATTTGTGATGATTTTTCTCTGTTTGGTGGTTCAGTTCTTTGGCTTAATTTCATAATCAATTTTGCTAATTCACAATTCTCATTGGGAATTAGAGATTATTAGCTGTAGTGTTATAGTGTCATTAGGATGTTACATGATTCTCTACATGATTTTTGTCTTATCTCCACTTCAATAGTTTACTTATGCAAAAAGGTTAGATTAGGAGTTTTAAATGCAATTAGAACCACTGGAGAAGGGTTAGATTAGGAGTTTTAAACATAGTTTATAATGTTTGTCTATTTCTCCATTTTCAGAGCTAATAACACTTCTCGTGAACATAAGATATAGTTAAACTGTAGGATTCTGTATAGTTTAAAGCCTTTTTTGTATTTTATTCGCTTTATGTTACTCTATTAGTTGCTGAATTACTAATAAATGTCATTGCTTTCAAGTGCAGAGAACAAAAGGGAGACCATTTGCTAGCCAACACGTTTACTTCCAACAATGTATATTACCTGTTTAGAAAATCTGAGCAGAGCAGAGCAACCAAATGTCAACAGGGAGGATTCTGTATGTTTGTCAATTTTGGTTTATTGATCTTTTGAATTTTAAATATTCGTTCTACGTTTAAGCTGCATGTTATTAACAAGTTTTCTTTGGTTTCAGGAGCTTTCTTCAGTTGAAATGTAACTTTTGACGAAGGGTTTCAAGATGAAGGATTGTTAGCTGCAAAGAAAATCATTCAGTAGCCAACAAAGGTATGGTTAAGTAGCTCCCTCTGTCTCCCACTTATCATGTCTCTTGCACTGTCTAAAAACAGAGCATAAATCCACGAAAACCAACACTCAAACGCACACAAAAAAATCAAACACACAAACTAATTTAAAGTCACGAAATCACAAAACGAAATTCAAACACACAAACAAAAAACATAGCACACAACGTTCAAACGCATCAAGAAACAGAAAACAGAACATAAATCCACGAAAACCCACACGAAAAGAAAATCAAACACACAAAGTAATTTAAAGTCACGAAATCACAAAACGAAATTCAAACACACAAACAAAAAACATAGCACACAACGTTCAAAGGCATCAAGAAACAAAAAACAAACTTTCACAGGAAAGTTTTAACCAAGAATGTGAATAATCACATTTGATGGCAAGAACTTGCTTTGTGACTGTTCTTCAAACAAAATGAAAATGTGCTATATAGATGAAAATGCTTTCGTACACACGAGGATGGTTTGCAGTTTAAATCAGGTTTTCATAAGAAAGAGCAAAAGTTTCAGATGCGTTTCAATATACTCATGAATGACAAGGTAATCTTGTTAAACCTTTTTCATCGTTTTAAACTCTTTTCTATTAGAACCAATGTGACTTTATGTAAAACCACTTTAATATATACTTGAAGTATCAGGGGTTTCAGTTATAATCTTCCATTTATTCAGAGGATAGCTCCGACCGGGTATCAAAATTAGAGAAGGTTAGTGCTTTATAGTGTGTTTTCTCATATTTAAGTTGTGGTTCTGTCTGTTTGATGTAGACATTGTTCCTACCTTTGTGTATAATATCCTTCTAATTGGCTTAATTGATGCATAACTTGCAGGAATAACTTTGTGTGAGCCTGCTGATGTATCTATTAAGGAGTTGATAAAGAGACTTGAAGAAGGTATACTTTTGTAACTAATTGGTAAAACATTTTCTAGATTCTGAACCTTCATTTATGCTGAAACTCACAGTTATTCATTTTTTCTTTTAATGCAGTTCACCCCATAGAAAGCATAAATTCAACGTATAAAGTGAATAAGGTTTGGACTGGTGTGGAAGTGCTTACATTCATTTCAACCAGACAATAACTCACTTTTGTAATTTGCCTCAAAGATAATTCTGCTGATGTTCTTGTTTCTGTTTTTCTTGATGCGAGAATGAATCTTAGATCAAGTGAGTTACAAGGATCAATAGCCGTCTCATTTAGAAATCTTTCCCTTCTTGAGTCATTGTAAGTATGAAAATTCAAGCCATACACACACACTATCCACTTCTTTTGACAGAAATTTGATAATGTATTTGTATCTGACATTTATTTGTGTCACGGGAATTTGAAAAGAAATAATTTGACTGGGTTTGTCCCAAGATCTCCTAGGAAAAGAACAACGGCTGGTGGACTTTCACTGAGAGGTACATTTTCTTGTCAAAACCTCGGAACCATAGTTGACTTCTTAAGACAATCTGTGTCTTTACCAATTTCTGAAGCTTGTTAATGTCCTCTCTGTTTCCAGTGTGGACGAACAAAACATTTGTCACCCACGTTCATGTAGGGATGGGAACAGGATCATCGTGCCAATAGTTGTAGCCACATTAGTGATCATTCTCATTGTGCCTTGGTTGTGATATGCATCATGCGTAAGTAACTAAATATATCAGCGTGTGGTTGGTTTCTAATGTATTTAGGTTCTCATGGCTGATTTGTTCTGCAGATGGCACTCTGCTGGAACTTTCGATTGTCAGTCAAGGACTGAAGGTCCATTCGGAACAATGAGGTTCGATGTTGAGCAAGCTCATGGAGCCAACAGTAGTATCCATATTGCTCTTAGGTTGTTGGACCCCATCAGGGAGCAATTACTTACTATCTCTTTTGCTGGTTGATGGTGATAACTTCAGGGTTTGGATTCTAACTCTCGATGTCCTTTTGGTGTGAAATTGATCTTTCAGCTTGCTGGTGTTGTGGCTGTTGAAGTTACTGGTGGCCCTGAAATTCCTTTCTACCCTTGAAGAGAGGTTAATCATTGCTGAGAGTGTGTTCTGCTTTCTTTGTAGAGATGGCTGATTGATAATTTACACATTCTCTCAATACTTGTAATACTGAAACACTGTGGGACTTGATTGTCTGTTTCTAACATGCACATCTTGCTTTCAGGACAAGCCCCAGCCACCTCCAGAGGGTCGTCTTCCTGATGCTACAAAGGGTTTTGATCACTTGAGAGATGTCTTTGCTAAGCAGATGGGCTTCTCTGAAAAGGACATTGTCGCTTTATCCGGTGCCCACACTCCTATTTCTCCATTTCAGAGCTAAAAACACTTGTGAAAAAGCGTCATTACTAATAAAGGTCATTGCTTAAAAGTGAAGAGATCCTTAAGTTGCAAAGAACAAAAGGGAGACTATTCGCTAGCCAAGACATACAAATGTTAAGGTCAAGTCTCTTCCTCTCTCTCCTTTACCGCAATTAGACACGTAGGATATAGAGGCTTGCACTATCCCAAAAATGTTTACTTCCGTACCATTCTATATCTCTTACAAAAGATTTGTCTGGTTTTTTTAATCTTTGAATAAGAACTAGATAAGGTGAACTAGAGAAGATGAAGCCGACTTGCCATTTCCAGCAGCTTCCAACAATGAATATTACCATTAAGATAATATGAGCTGAGGAAGCAACCAAATGTCGACAGGGAGGATTCTGTAAGTTTGTCATTTTTTGGTTTTAATGATCTTTTGAATTCAAATATTCGTTCTATGTTTAAACTGCTTGTTATTAACAAATGTTCTTTGGTTTCAAGAGCTTTCTTAAGTTGAAATGGAACTTTTGACAAAGGGTTTCAAGATGAAGGATTGTTTGGCTGCAAAGAAGCTTTGGAGACCATTTAGTAGCCAAAAAAGGTATGGTTAAGTAGTTCTCTCTCTCACTTATCATGTCTTTTGCACTGTCTCGAAAACAGAGCATAAGTTCATGAAAACACACTCAAATGCACACAAAATAAAATAAAATCAAACACACAAAAATTAATTAAAAGTCACCAAAACAAAAAACAAAATTCAAACACAAACAAAAAACATAGCACAAAACGTCCAAATGCAACACGAAGAAACATAAAACAGAACATAAATCCACGAAAACCGACACTCGAACGTACACAAAAAAAATCAAACACACAATAACTAATTAAAAGTTACACATAACAAAAACATAGCACACAACGTCCAAACGCAACTTCAAAAACATAAAACAAGATTTCACAGAAATGTTTTAACAAAAAGTGTGAATAATCACATTTGATGTCAAAAACATGCTTTGTTCCCTTGTTTCTTACTTTCTTATCTACTTGCTTTAGTATAGCTTATATTAACTTATTTTCTTCTTGAAGTGAAATGCAAACATGCTATATAGTTGAAAATGCTTTCGTGTAAATGAGGATGGTTTGCAGTTTAAACCAGGTTATCATAAGAAAGAGCAAAAGTTTCAGATGCGTTGCAATATACTCATGAATGATAAGGTAATCATGTTAAACCATAATGTAAAACTACATTAATATATTTATTCAGGGGTTTCAGTTACAATCTTCCCTTTATTTTGAGGATAGCTCCGACCGGGTATCAAAATTAGAGAAGGTTTGTGCTTTATAGTATTGTGTTTTCTCATAAGTAAGTTGTGTGGTTCTGTCTGTTTGATGTAGACGTTGTTCATAATTTGGTGTATAATATCTTTTTGTAAGTTGCAGGAATTACTTTGTATGAGCCTGGTGATGTATCATTAAGGAGTTGATAAAGAGACTTGAAGAAGGTAAGCTTTTGTAAGGAATTGATAAAGCATTCTCTTAGGTCAAAACTACTTGAGATAAAGATGCAACCAAAACATATATTTTCACTTTCTTTTTGCTTCTGTTTAGGCACACCGATCAAGAGTGGGTGACAAGAGGGATGTTTTTGTAAAGGTGAGACAACTGAAATCTTCTTAGCTTGCTTTCAATTAGTTTCTGAAAGTGCTTTAGGTCCAAAGACTTGGCATTGAGAACTCAATGATGCAGAAAAAGAGAAGCATTTATTTATCATTTCTATCTGGTAAGAATTTTACATGGAAGTCCTTGTTTTTCATTTTCCATTGCATTGGCCTCAAACCTTGAATTATACTCAAACTCACAGTTATCCATTTTCTCTTGTTAATGCAGTTCACGCCATAGAAAGCAATCAGCGTATAAAGTGAATAAGGTTTGGACTGGTGATCCTTGCTCTCCAAGACTATTCCCTTGGGAAGGTACTTCTAATAACCAAATCAAGTCCATGTAAGTCATTCATTTCAACCAGACAATAACTCATTTTTGTAATCTCCCTCAAGGATAATTCTGCTGATGAGCTTGTTTTTGTTTTTCTTGATGCGAGAATGAATTTTAGTTCAAGTGGGTTACAAGGACCAATAACCTTCTCCTCTAAATATCTCTCCCTCCTTGAGTCATTGTAAGTATACAAATGCAAGCCATACACACACACTTTCCACCTCTTTATTCACAATAAATATAAGAGTCATGTGCATTGTTTTCCCAGGGATATCAAACAACAAACTGAGAGGGGATTTTTTGGATGATCTAAAATATCTGAAGTTCTGTAAGGTTGAGCACATAAAGAGGCTTTTCGTTTGACAGACATTTGATAATGTATTTGTCTCTGACATATAATTGTGTCACAGAAATTTGAAAGGAAATAACTTGGCTGGGTTTGTCCCAAGATCTCTTAGGAAAAGAAGAATGGCTGGTGGACTTGCACTGAGAGGTACATTTTCTTGTCAAAACCCGGAACCATAGTCATCTTGTCAATTTCCTCTCTGTAAATATTTGTTGTCACTTTCTATGTCTAAGCTGCTTGTTATTAACAAGGTTCTTTGGTTTCAAGAGCTTTTTTAAAGTAGAAATGGAACTTTTGACAAGGGGTTTCAAGATGAAGGATTGTTTAGCTACAAAGAAGCTTTGAAGACAGTTCAGTAGCCAACAAAGGTATGGTTAAGTAGCTCTCTCTCTCCGACTTATCATGTCTCTGGCACTGTCTCAAAAATAGAGCATAAATCCACGAAAACCCACACTTTAACGCACAAAAAAATAAATCAAACACACAAAAAACAAAACGAAATTCACACAAACAAAAAACGTAGCACACAACGTCCAAACGCAACTTAAAGAAACAGAAAACATAACATAAATCCACGAAAACCCACACTCGAACATACACAAAAAAAAATCACACATACAAAACGAAATTGAAACGCACAAACAAAAAACATAGCACACAACGTCCAAACGCAACTTGAAGAAACAGAAAACAAACTTTCACAGGAAGTTTTTAACAAAAAGTGTGAATGATCACATTTGATGGCAAGAAATTGCGTTGTGACTGTTCCCTTATTTCTTACTTTCTTTTCTACTTGCTTTAGTAGAGCATGTATTAACTTATATATTTGAAAATGCTTTCGTATACACGAGCATTGTTTGCAGTTTAAACCAGGTTTTCATAAGAAAGAGCAAAAGTTTCAAATACGTTTCAATATACTCATGAATGACAAGGTAATCTTGTTAAACCTTTTTCATCATTTTAAACTCTTTTCTATTAGAATTAATGTAACTTTATGTAAAACTAATTATATGTTCTAAGTATTCAGAGGTTTCAGCTATGATCTTCCATTTATTCAGAGGATAGCTCCGACGGGGTATCCAAATTCTGCCTCAAAATTAGAGAATGGTAGTGCTTTATAGTATAGTATTGTGTTTTTTTTTTCTCATAATTAAGTTGACATTGTTCTTTTGTTCATTATTTTGTGTCTAATGTCCGTTTAATTGGCTTAATTGATGTGTAACTTGCAGAAATAACTTTGTGTGAGTCTGATGATGTATCTATTAAGGAGTTGATAAAGAGACTTAAAGAAGGTAAGCTTTTGTAACGAATTGGTAAAGCATTACAACTATTTTTCAGACTCAGAACTACAATGCACTTGCGGTTTAGTTTGTGAAAGAAAATAATAATGAGTAAAGATGCAGCCAAAACATATATTTTCACTTCCTTTTTGCTTATATTTAGGCACACCGAGTAAGAGTGGGGGACAAGAGGGATGTTGTTGTAAAGGTGAGAAAAATAATCAGGACACAACTGAGATCTTCTTAGCTTGCTTTCAATTAGTTTCTGAATGTGCTACATGTTTAGGTCCACAGTCCTGGCGTTGAGAATTTGATGATGATAGATATAATAAACTTGCAAATATTTGCATTATACTGCAAAAAACGAGAAGCAGGTTTTTATCATTTATATCTTGTAAGAATTTACAGTCTCCAAGTCACTATAAGTCCTTGTTTTTCATTTTCTAGATTAGGTATGAATTTAATGGAGGCCAATGCAATGGAAAAGCTCCGACGTTTTCTTTATGATAACAATAGATAGAGTCATGTTCTGTTCCCAGGGTGCTATGAAATTTGGTGACCAGGTACTTGTTTTATAAATAGGCTTTTTAAGGATTCCTGTTTCAGTGATCAAGTTTTTCCGACAGAATCTCTTTTCGTTTTATTTCCTAGCTTGCTTTCAGAAACTCGACGATGCAGAAACAGAGAAGCATGTATTTTGTCATTTCTATCTGGTAAGAGTTTTACATGTAAGTCCTTGTTTTTCATTTTCCATTGCATTGGCCTCGAACCTTGATTTATACTGAAACTCACAGTTGTCCATTTTCTCTTGTTAATGCAGTTCACGCCATAAAAAGCATAAAATCAACGTATAAAGCGAATAAGGTTTGGACTGGTGATCCTTGCTCTCAAAGATTATTCCCTTGGGAAAGTACTTCTAATTACCAAATCAAGTCCATGTAAGTCATTCATTTCAACCAGACAATAACTCATTTTTGTAGTTTCCCTCAAGGATAATTCTGCTGATGAGCTTGTTTTTCTTGATGCGAGAATTAATCTTAGTTCAAGTGGGTTACAAAGACCAATAACCGTCTCATTTAGAAATCTCTCCATTCTTGAGTCATTGTAAGTATACAAATTCAAGACATATCCACCTCTTTATTCACATTAAATATAAGAATCGTGTGCATTGTTTTCCCAGGGATTTATAACACAACAACCTAAGAAGGGAATTTTTGGCTGATTCTGAAGTTCTTTAAAGGTTGAGCACATAGAGGGCTTTTCGTTTGATATACATTTTGATAATCTATTTCTCTCTGACATTTGTTTCTGTCATAGGAATTTGAAAAAAAAATAACTTAACTGGGTTTGTCCCAAGATCTCATAACAATGGCTAGTGGACTTGCACTGAGAGGTACATTTTCTTGTCAAAACCCCGGAACCATAGTCATCTTCTTAAGACAATCTGTGTCTCTACCATTTTCTGAAGCTTGTTAATGTTCTCTCTGTTTCCAATGTAGATGAACAAAGCATTTGTCACCCACGTTCAGATTCGTCGTGCCAAAAGTTGTAGCCACAATAGTGATCATTCTCATTGTCGCCTTGGTTGTGATATGGCATCATGGTAAGGGAAACAAAAATAAGTAAGCACAGTTGGTCTTTTACATAATTAATGGTTGATAAAAGTCAGAATTAATGCTGAATGAAAATGAGTGTTAGTTTCCTAGTGTATTCAGGACCACTTCTGCCTTCGGGAAAGAGAAGGTTCACATGTAGCATTACAAACAACTTCAAAAGTGATCGGTAACGGAGGGTTTGGTAAGAACAACAAAAACATTAGAAACCGAAATCAGATAAGTGAAGACATTGTTTTATCGTTGCTAAAGTGTAAAATGTTTGCAGGCAGAGCTTCTTTTGAGAGTGCATCTACAGAACTTAGCTTAGTTTATTGGATACTGCGATGATGGTAGCAGTATGGCTCTCATCTACGAGTACATGGCTAATGGCAACTTACAACACTCATTTTTGGGTACTTACTGTTAAGGTAATTGATTTCACGGTTTGTATTTCTTACCCGCTTTTTTAGTTGTTATAAGTTTCAACGGATGTGAAATTTATTTGTCGTTTGAAACTTTGTCCAGGTTAAAATTTATTAGTATGAATGAGAAGCAAGTAAGCAACCTCGTCTGGGAATATTGGTTTAGTAAGTTTTATTTCTGTGGCTATAATTTGATTGTATTAATTTTATCTTGCTCAAACTCAAAGTACATAACAAAATATTTTATTTTTTTAGGACCAGCAATAAATTTCAATTTGGAGATGACATTAGCCAAGAACAAGCGGCTCTTGGGATGATGTAACTGAGTTACGGTAACTGTCTTTTACCTCTCATAAGAAAAAACACAAACATAGCAAACATTAAATTTTAAAACACTAACCAACGAAAACATAAAACACACAAAACAAAAAAATCCATTTGCACACAAAAATGCAATAAAAATGCAAAAACAAACTTTACAACTTCACGTTCACGAATCACGATCACATAAAATCCACAACTTCCCGATCACATAAACTCCACAACTTCATGTTCACGAATCACGATCACATAAACTCCACAACTTCACGTTCACGAATCACGATTACATAAACTCCACAACTTCACGATCACATAGAGTTTTGCTTCCTCTGCAACACGATTTCAATTTTGATTTTTTCACAATGGCTTGTATAATTTAAGTCAATTCTTCTTGTTTTAATATTCTTTTCCCAATGTATTTTGAGCGTCAGTGAACTTGTAAAGCTTCTTGTTATCAGTTATTACATTTTTTAAGTTGTTTTTTTTTTTTGCTTTAAAATTTGTAAACAGGATATCCTTGTTCTTGTTGTTGTAATTCTTGTTTTTAATATTCTCTTTGCAATGTAATTTTTGAGCGTCGAACTTGTAAAGTTTCTTGTTATCAGTTATTACATTGTTTTTTTTTTCCTTCAGAATTTGTAATTCAAATATTTTATTTACGAATAATTAAAAATATCTGAGTTGAATTATTCATCTTCTTGTCACCAAAGAGTTGAATTATTCATGTTCATGTTTTTCGTAATATTAAAAGATTCGGGCTCCCTCTAAAAGTTTCTCGGTATCTCGATAATTAGGAAAAACTCAACGCTCAAAATTCTGGGCCATTTTGTAAATACAAAAAGATTTGGACTCCTTCCAAAAGATATTAGATATTTCCAGTAAATATCGAAAGATCTGTGGTATGAGGTGTTTTGGTATATAACAAGATATATCTGGGTATTAAAAAAATCTGAGTTACTTTGGTAGTTTGGTAAATAACAAAAGATCTAAGTTTTTTTAAACAACATAAGATATGGTATATACAAGAGATTACTTGTGACTCTAAATTCAAACTGATGAGCTTCAACAAGACTTAAACCGCTAATGATATACCACCATTTAGGGGCAAGATTAATCACAAGATACAAATTTGAGAAACCTAATCAAAAGAATTAACAAGAGTTTACAAATAGAGAAGATTCTTGTAACACTGTTTCTTCACCACTTAAATCGAGCAGTAAATGATCAACATATGATCATCACAACTAATACAAACAATATTAACAGAATCGAATCTCTGAGAATATAGGCGAAACAATACAACATCCTATTTTTTAACACTTGAGAAGATAAAACAGAGCTTTGTCTCATGTTCTGTTCCAAACCTGACCGCGTTCTAGTGCTCGTTGGCTTCTGTTCTCTGAGATTTGAATCTTTCATCCACAGACTGACGACTCTAAGATTTGATTCGTGGTTAGCTTATAGTTTTGGTTTACGAGTGTCTAGATGCATCCTCATGCAACTGCGTAGTCCTCACATTAGGATCATCCTGCACAGAAGTCGCCATGAACAAGATGACTAATTGATACCCGTGTTCAAAAAATCGCTAGGCGCTAGTCGGGCGGTGAGGGTGCGCCTAGCGCCTAGCAAGAAAATCGGGGATTACACGGGGATTAATCGGGGATTAGTTTTAGGGCTATTTAATATTTTAAAAACATATTAATCCATTATAATTAAGAAATTTATATAATATTGTTTTAAAAATTGTATTAAACACATGAAAACAAGATTTTAATTTCAAATTTATGATTTTTATACAAATTACGAACATAAGTAGTACGTTTTGAATTTTAGATTAAAAAAAAAAGTAAAAAAAAAAAAAAAAAAAAAAAAAAAAATTGGGCTAGGCGCCGTCTAGGCGGTCTAGGCGGACGAAAAATCGGGTTTACGCGGGGTGTAATCAGTAAACCGATTTCTTAAACCGATTATGCATTAAACCCATCGGTACAGCACCGCCTAGCGCCTAGGCGCCGATTAATCGGCCGCCTAGCCCGATTTTTAGAACAAGGATTGATACAAACAGGAAAAGAAAAAGAGATAAATCTTTGATTACAAATGAAATATTTACCCGGATATCGTAAGGAAAATTGGGAGGCCGGAAGAAATCTACTCCCTAGAGAGAACAAAGTAAGAATGTTAATTGATTTATTTTTACTTTTTTGGCAGTCTTATTAAAAGATTAACAATACTCGTGAAAGCATTGAGAATAGGTAGGTAGGTACCTGGGTATGGATGCCTTGCTGAGGATGGTAGTAACTGTCGTAGCTTGGTGCTATCGAGTTCAACTGTCGCTACAGAAAAAACAGCCGGAATTGTTTTTTTTTTATCCAAAGTTCATGAAATAATAACAGCAGAAGCTACTTTTACACATATGTCATGGTCGATTTCATACCAATCCTTGAATTGCTTGTTGATTCCCGTAGAAATTATCGCGAGTTGGCGCCATTAAGTTCAGCTGGACCTGTAAAAACACATATCAGAACAGATTACACATCTCAATGTATAAGAGAATAATATGAACGTATGTTGTGCTTAATTACCATTCCTTGTACACTCTGCTGTCCATAATAGCTTTCAATGCCAACCGTCCTTGGGCTCAGCTTATCCTGCAATTACAGAATTCAGATATGAAATACGTACATAGGCGACTTGAGTTTAACAGAGTTTTGCTATGACATGTCAACAAAGACAGACCATCTGTTGCAAGCTTTCTGGCGCTGCAACTGCCATAACCTCCTGCTCTGAGTTCACCTGAAATTAGTATTTGGTATCATCAGACTTGCAAAGCTAACAAAATCCGTAAGCTGTCTACACAGAGAGACAGTAAACAAGAAGTTACTTTTCTTTTCTTAGTTGGATTCTTTTTCTTGCTGGTTTTGCCTGCACTTCTGCTCTGGTTATCCTCCTCGACAGAAATCAGACCTTGAGTTGGTGACGTTACAACATCTGGAAGACTTCTGCCGGAAGTATTAATACCAGCACAGTTTCCTATAGCTCCTTCAATAGCAAGGAATGCAATACTGTAACTCTCTTGAGAGAGGGATGCCTCTTCATTCAGCTTTAATGCTCGTTCGCACAAATCGTTATACCGGAGCAGCCTAGTCTGCAACTGCTGAGGTTCTCCTGAAAAACGCCGGCTTTTTGCATCTTTCGTCCATCGTTTCAATATGTACTGCGAGGGGATGGAAGAAAGATGACAACACTGAAGAACATTAAGAGTGTGTCTGCAGAGATACCCTTTATACTCAAATAACCGACAGATGCAAGAGACTTCAGCCTTTGTTTGGTTCCATGTTACCACGAAGTCCTGGTTGTTTTCAAAATCCTGCACTCTAAAAGTAGAACATGTGGCATCTCGGTTCTCCTCCCTGGGACTACACGCAATCGCACCCAAAACTTCAATCTGGAACTTTTTGAATACTGCAGGAGTATAGACTTCAGAAACACTCTTCTCAAATGGCGATGGAGACTTCATTGCTGGCTGCTTGTTCCACATTTCAGAATCAGCTTTGGCTTCTTCTTCACATCTATCTTGCAAAATTATATCATATTGCTTTACAAATTCTTGTACACTAGTCTTCTTATGCATATACTTGTCGAAGAAAGCATTAATACTATCAGCTCGCTGAGATGTAGACATCCCAGCCAAAAGAAGATCAGTCATGTAGGTTGGTGCCCATTTCTTGCGGTCTTCATATAAAGAATGCATCCATTGATCATCTTTGAGGCCGAATCTAGCAAGATTCTTATACCATTTTCTCGCAAAGTCTTCATCTTTCCCTGATTTATAGATGCACTTCTCAAACTTTGGCATGAAATTATCATGTTGCTTAACAACTTGTCCAAGATTCTCAGAAACCTTCATCAATACATGCCAAAGAAAAAGGCAATGCCGTGTATTGGGGAAGATTTCGGGAACAATGGAGTTCATTACAACGTCTACCTCAGTGATCAAAACCTTTGGAGCTTGTCCACCCATCGCTCTCAGCCAGGTCTCCATTAACCAAGAATATGTTGCTGCACTCTCATCGGATATTAAGGCGCACCCAAGGACCATATACTGGTAGTGCTGGTTCACTCCAACAAAAATAGCAAGTGGCATCTTGTACTTGTTTCTCACGTAGGTGGTGTCTAGAGAAACAACATCACAAAAACTGCCATAGTTATGCCTGCTCTTTGCATCTACCCAAAAAACATTCTTCACTCGCTGATCATCGCCCAGATCTACCGCATAAAAGAAGTTGGAATTCAAAGTTTGCATCCGTGACAAGAAGTCAAGCAAGATTTTGAAATCCCCTGTTTCCACCGATAAATTCCGACCTTTTTCAAAAGAACTTTTCGAATCACTTTTAAGGCTGATAACAGTTTTATATTCAGCAAACTGCTTAGCCATTGCAGCATATATCTTTCTAGTCTGTTCACTCACAGCTTGTGCAGGTAAGAGCTCATGATTATGCTCCCTAACAAAGCTGTGAATTACCCATTTCCCATCTGGCCTTCTCTTAACATGCATACTAGCTTTGCAGTCGGTTTTCGCACATGTTCGCCGACCAGCCATATTCTCTGGATCTTGCTTGCTTTGTCTAGCTCGTGGCCGATTAAAAGACTTGTCATATTCTCTTTTGGTACCATACCTAGAGCAGGCAAACTTTGCATCAATAAACTCTCTTGTAGTTTTCGACCGACGACTGTTCTGTATCGCAGTGTTAAACCCAATAGCTCGAGAATACTCCTGGTAAAACGAATACGCTTCACCATGTGACTCAAACTCCATACCATTGAGAGGTTCAAGATTCATACCCTCTGAATACTCAACCAACTCCCCCGTTGGAACACCCATGCCTACACTGTCATCAGTATTAACCTCAACCGAAACATCCTCAATTTTGCCAATATCCATATCTTCTTCATCAGCATCATGAAGTTTGTGTTCATTGTGCAACACATTATCAAGTCCTCTATCCTCATCATCTCCTTTGCAAAGGTCACCTGAATGTAGTCGAAGATCTATATCCATGACAAAGAATTTCTCCTATAGTCTCAACTCTCAAGCAAAACAAACGTTTTTCAACACTGCAAGACAAAATCTAGGCATCAGTACATATATCTAGGTCAAAATGTATACTAAATCACACACAAAAGATAAAACAAATCAGAGAATCCATCAAAAATTCTACCTTTCTACGATGATAAATCGAGAAAGTATATATACATTTTGTCCTTAAAATTGCAAAAAAAAGGAACTTGCAGCTAAATTCTTAGTGGGTATTTCATCACATAAACGAATTCTCAAATCCAATTCCTAAAAACGAAGCTGATCAAAACACTGTATATAACCCATCATTTGTGTGGTTATCACTACAAAACAAAAACAAAGAAAAATGAAAACTTTACCTCGTACGAAACAGAAACTGAGAAAAAGGCCGTCTCTTTAACCTCGTCGTCGTCGAGAGGAGGAAGAAGAAGAAGACACGCGCCAATCGGGTGCGAGTTGGTGTATCGATCTACGAAAAGGGGATAGAGAAGAAGAAGAGAGAAAGAGAAGAAAAATTGGTGAGTGGTGTTCACGCGATCTGAGGAAGCGAGTGGGCGGAAGATCCACGATTTCGTCTCTTTTGGTTTCTAGGGTTTCTTTCTTCTTCTTCTCTGTCTAAACGCATCACCATGTTTTTTGATAAATAATATCTCTCCATATATTTAATTACTAAAATAAAATTAGAAAAAAATGAAAAACAAATAAATAAAAATTCGAAATTTTGGCCAATGCGCATGCCAAAACAAAAATTAGAGGGAAGCGTGAATAATGGACATCATGAGATTTACTTACATCTATAAGACTATAGAGCCGTCTACTAGACTTATTAGGCTTTTAAAATTGGTGTTTGGTCCACTTTAAGACTTGTTTGAATTATTTTATTTTGTATTTCTTTTGACATTAGTACCTTCTTTTTAAGTATTCTTACGATGGTGAAAACTGAAAAAATTACGGTGGATTACAAATTTTTTTCTTACTATATGAATATGAATTTTTTTCTGTAATAGTCTATTATTCACAAACTATCAAGTTTGAATTAGGAGTATAACACGACATAGTACACATGTTTTAACTTTTAACGGTCAAATTTTAATTTCAAACTTTCTTTACATATTAGCTAATATAGAATATTAAAACAATTTTAGGTAATATTTATGAATTGAAAATAAAATATCATAAATATCACAATCAATACTAAATAGCCAGTTGGTATTATTACTACTTCAGCATTGGTTTAATTTATTATTTTTGACCCAAAATAAATAAACAATAGCCATTAGCCTGAGAGTCACTGTTCTATTTAATTTTTCATACATTTAGATTAGCTCAGTAAAAACCAATTATAATTAGTCCACTAATGTTAGAAAGTTGGGGTCAATTTTTTTATTTCTAATTTTCTTTACATATTAGCTAATATAGAAAATAAATATCATTTTCTGAATTGAAAATAAATTCCATAAAATATCATAATCAGCCAATAGCCAGTTGCTATTACTATTTCCGACAGTGTTTTCATTTTAATTCTTTTTTACAAAAAGCCAGCCAATAGCCTGAATTAAATTATAAATTATAATTATGCCAAAACTATAAATATAATTAGTCCAAATTACCAAAAAAAATAAATATAATTAGTCCACTAATGTAAAAGTTTGGTCAAACATTTAGACTTAATTAAGACTAAACCTGCCACAGTAACAGAGAGAGACGATAATTCCTCAGTCACTTTCCTTTTTCCGTGAGCAACAACACTCTTCACTTAATCGCTCCGGCGGTGGCGACGGCAACGTGACGGAGACGTTGTCGTAAAATTAGGGTTTATCTTTCTTGGCTTATTGTTGTTGAAGAAGAAGGTATGGTGAGGAAACACGGTTGGCAACTTCCTGCTCACACTCTTCAGGTAAAAATCGAATGTAACCTTCTCTATAGCTAAAGCTTCGATTTTTCAAGATTGGTTTCTAGAATCTGGTCAATCTAAAGTCACCAATGGCTATGATTTCAATTGGGTTCTGTGTATTTTTCTCTCAGGTGATTGCAATAACAGTGTTTTGCTTGTTGGTGGTCGCTTTCTATGCTTTCTTCGCTCCTTTTGTTGGAGGTCGTCTTTGGGAATACGTTTTAATTGGTGTTTACTCTCCTGTGGTATGTTTAATGCTTCTCAAGCTAGTTTAAAGTTCGAAAAATCGGTTTAGCAAGTTGAATTGTAGGATTATAACGAGTTTTGGATTCCACAGCTGTGTATCTTATGGCATTGATCTTAGCTGATAGGTTCCTTTATGTATCATGTGTGTTTGCAGGCTATTCTTGTGTTCATTTTGTATGTTCGGTGTACTGCAATCAATCCTGCGGATCCAAGAATCATGTCGATATTTGATACAGGCGTGAACAGAGATGATATGGTTGGTGCCTTATCGAGGAATTTTGATGAAACTGGTAGTCAGTTGCAGGCTTCTCCTTCAGTTGTCAGCAGGAGTTCTACCGTAGCAGGAAACTCTAGTGTGAAAGGTTCTGTAGGAGATGCTCAAAGAGTAGAATCTGTGAGAAGAAGATCTTGCTATAATCCTCTGGCTATCTTCTGTTACGTGTTTGTTTTGGAAGACTGCCGTAAACAGGAGGGGGTGGCGGAACAAGAAGGAAACAGCGAAGAGGCTCTGTTTTGCACATTGTGCAATTCTGAGGTATAGTAACATGGTTCCAAGCTTTAGAAAGCTATATGTCATGTGTACATGTATGCCCTTTAATATGAAAATTCAGTGATGTATGAGCAGTAGATAATGACTAAATTGCTTGGTGTATCTAGAATATTTTCTAGAATGCCGAAAACCGAAAAGTAGAATCTGCTTTGACAAGTCTTTAGGGAAAGAATTTTGCTTCAGATTTTAGATGTGTACTGAATTATGTATGTTTCACAGGTACGCAAGTTCAGCAAGCATTGTCGAAGTTGTGATAAATGTGTTGATTGTTTTGATCACCATTGCAAGGTAAACTTTCTGATGTTTCAAATGTTTGACTGGATTTTTATGGGTTTAAACGCTGACATAGTTGTAATCATTGCTACAGTGGCTTAACAATTGCGTCGGTCGTAAAAACTACGTGACTTTTGTCTCTCTGATGAGTGCCAGTCTTCTCTGGGTATGTATATACTTCGTATGTTGCTATTTCCTGTACTTCTTTTCCACTTAACCACTAACAGGTTATGGTTTCTCCCTCCTCAGCTCATTATTGAAGCAGCAGTTGGAATTGCAGTTATAGTGCGTGTATTTGTTAATAAGCAGAGCATGGAAACTGAAATTGTCAATAGACTTGGAAATAGTTTCTCTCGTGCACCTTTAGCGGCAGTTGTTGTAAGTATTCTTGGTGTTATGCTGTTGGTTTGAGGTTAGCTCCTATCGTCAATGTTCCTAATGTCATATCTGCAAATTATGTAGGGTCTTTGCACTTCTGTTGCCATTTTGGCATGTTTTCCACTAGGTGAACTTCTCTTTTTCCACATGCTTCTCATTAAAAAGGTCAGTGGGAAAGAAGCTAGTTCTGATATTAGTTACTCATAACACGGATAATTTTCTTACTGTAAGATACGTGGTAAGACTTTTTAAAGATAGAAGTGACTAGCACTAGAGATCCATGCTCTTCATAGTAGTGAGGTTGAACTTGGATAATTTTTGTTTAACAACCTTATATCTTGATGTCACCTCTGTTCAGAGAATTATGTCCATCTGAACCATTCGCCATAAATCGTTTCCTAATTTAGAAGCTCTACTATTGTATTTAACTTATGTCTTATAACTAGTTGATGGCTTGTTTCAGTATGAGCAATGTGAACTTTTCTTAACACTGGCAGGGAATTACAACATATGAGTATGTTGTGGCAATGAGAGCCATGAGCGAGGCGCCAGATGGAGCATCTGTTGACGAGGAAATTCAGAATGTGCTCTATTCTCCCACTGGGTCTGCTACAACTGGATTTAGTGGTGGAAGCTCTCTCGGTCTACCATACAAGGGGGTCTGGTGCACTCCACCTAGAGTGTTTGATAATCAGGTATATTCACGTTTTCTAAAACATCCAACCGTACTTTCATCACATGTCAAATCTCTTGTGAAACAATGAAACTGACTAGAGTTTTGGTTGCAATAGATAGGTTATATAACTCATATACATCATTTGGAAGTCTAGTTATCCATAGGATCAATCTCTAAATATAAACTTAAAATACAAGGCTTTCCACGTAGGTTTACACTCATTATCTCTTTGTAGGATGAAGTCATTCCCCATTTAGACCCTCGCATGGTCCCGTCGACCGTAGACCCAGATGCACCTGGATCAGAGAAAGGCACCAAGGCTCTGAAAAGACCTGTCAAACGTAGTGCATGGAAGCTTGCAAAGTTGGATCCAAATGAAGCTGCAAGGGCAGCTGCCAGAGCCAGAGCGTCATCATCTGTCCTAAGACCGATAGATAATCGCCATTTACCTGATAGTGAACTTAGTTCCATTGGCACAGTTAGTATCATCAGTAGTGTAAGCACAGATGCAAATGTGGCTGCAAGTAAAGAGATAAGGAACAATGATCTAATGTCATCTCTTTCTAGAAACTCCTTTGCTCCAAGCCAAGGTAGCCGGGATGAGTATGACACAGGGAGCCATGGTATGAGCAATCTTAGCAGTCCAAGCCATGTTCACCAGTCTGTCACACTTGCTCCACTCCCTCAGAATCCTACAATAGTCGGCAATCGCTTCACTGCAACAACCCATCACATGCACTCAACCTTTGATGATAAGGTGCTGCACAGAGGAAACGAGGCGGATCCACTATTTCTCTCTGCTCCTGCATCTCATCGGAGGGATGTGAAAAAGACATCAGTTGTTTGGGATCCAGAAGCTGGGAGATATGTATCAGCTCCTGTAACGACAACATCGGAGGTCCGCAACAGATTGCCAAATCCTAGCTCACAAACAGCCAACTTTCAGAATCCAAGACCCATTCTTCCAGCTCAAGATTCTTCTTCTGGATCATCAGCACTAAGGGATCCTCTTCCTCTTCACCAAGCCGAGAGAAGACTGACATATACAGGTGACTCTATCTTCTATGGAGGCCCACTGATTAATATTCCGACTAGAGATACCCCGAGAAGCGGAAGGGGGTCAGTAAGAGAGGTACAAGACAGATTGGCATCAACAGTTCATCGAGATGCAAGATTCAGAAGAGATTCAACATCAAACCAGCTCCCGGTGTTTGCCCCTGGAGGTCTTGGGACAAACTCCCAACCCGGTTCTAACATCAAGTAGTTACACCGATTGTATTTCTTGAAAGGGTCTGATCTTCTACAAAACGCCTTCCCAATTCCTAGAGAGGCTCCAAATGAATGGGTTCTGTGCTGTATTGCCGGACTCCGAGAATTGAAATTTGAGTTTCCGAGTCACTGGAATTTGTGCAAAGTTGGCAGTAATTTCTGTGTTAGAGTAGGACTAATTTCTCAGTGTTTTAGCTTCTTGTAAACCCAGAAATCCGAAATGTCATCACTTTTGATTCTTCCAGAAAACCATTCATGTAAATTCTTCTTTCACTTATCTCTTCGTTTGTTGACATCCTCTACTCTGCATTTTCATGTCTAGAAAATTGATCACTCAAGAACAATTATTATGATAAAAATATTATCACTCTTTGAAATAAAAAACGTATACAACACAACGTACTATTACTATATAATCACATTAGGAGCATAATCCGTTCTCCCAGCAAAAACTGAAAAGGTTTGACAAATATACACCTTGAGATTATATTAACTTACCGATCCATATAAGAATCCAAAATCACTCCAGAGAGTCATGGACAAAAAAAGGATGGCTAACATAAATAACAACAACAATGAAGGCAGTGAGAGACACCAATACGGCATCCTTCTCTTCTTGATTGATCGATGAACCAAGCAACTCTCTTATCTAAAACCCGCTGTGTTCTGTTCTCCCATGATCTTGTCTCTTTCCTTTCATCAAAAGCTGTGTATGTACAGGACGATGGGATTCGGGCTCACGATTCTCAGAGCTACACACTTACAAGGCTATGCGAGCCTCTGTTTTATTGGGTCGGAGTTGCGTCTTCTCTGGTTTTGGGCAGATTTTTCCTCCACTCCTTTTTGAGATGTTGGCATGAGTTTTCCCGCTCGGTTGGCTTTAGCTGACTGAGATCCTAAGGATTTTCCTGCTCAAGAATATTCATGACATAGACTTGGTCATGCTCAAGGACAATGGGAACGAACGGAGTGATTTGAGGCTTGGTCAAACTCTTCACTGGAAGATTAGATAAGATTTGTGGGTTACACTAAAACTTAGCCATCCTAATATCTACATTGTGGTTGGTATCTTTATGACCAATGCAAACTAATTCTCTTATCGCTATCAGCATGTTGATAAGACTATTGTCTCAATTATGAAAGTGGAAATGGAAACCTGTTTCATAGGCATAGAGAAAGAGAAAAATAAATCTTACCACTGTTTGGCAGAGATAATCGTTCCTTTGAAGATCTATTTGGCTCTCTTGATCTTTCTTTCGGATTGCTGTGAGATCTTGGACCAGCACCAGGTCTTGAGTTAACTTCTACAGCAAGATCATCTTTAGCAGGCTTTGACTTAGCCTTGGATACCACTGGAATGCTTGACGATATTCCAGGAGAAGATGAATTACCATCCGACTGACATGGGCCAGTCATCTGACTTGAAATACCAGATATAAGATTTGAAGCATTTGGCATCTTGCTCACACTTTTCATCTGCGTTTTGGGCACATTCTCAGACTGCTCCATGCTGTTTTCACCTAATTTTGCATCCTCCCTGAGGTTACTGTCAAGAAACCTGTTCTCCCATGGCCGAACAGCCATCCATCTTTCCAACCAGTTCCATCCCCAGTTGTTTTTGTCAGGTTGAAAGCCACTGTGAGCAGATAACTGCCGAGTTCCTGCCTGCCACTACAAGAGAGCAATTCTATGTCATACAAATATCCATTTACAGCCACTAGGAAAAAACATCGGGGGAAACTACTAATGGGGCTGAGATGAGGCCATGGCATAGGTAACGAGATACACTTATACGCAAACAAGATGGTCACATTGGTCCAGCAAAAAAAAGCAGTCCATTAATAGACTGCTGCAGAAGAAAATAAAACTTAAGTAGGCAGCTTCAGTGTTTCAAATCATAGTGCTTGATAAAAAATTGGTCCTATGAAAGAGAGAACCCACGACAATCAGATAAACTATTCAGGGAAAACTATGATCCGTACGAAGTGAACAATTCAAACAATTACTTCTTAACTAGAATAGTTATTGAGAGTAACCTGGTGAGTCAAAGCATATGCCATAGCCCTCTCACGCTTAGCTGCAGCTTCCTGCCTCTTTAGCAGCTTGGCTTGGATTTGTTCAACAGATCCAATACTATCGCACCAACCTTCCTGAAAGATGATAACACATAGTCAACATGACTGTAATTCTCTATAACTAATTAAAGGCCAACCACAAGATAGAAAAAACACAAAGTTTGTAAACAACTGAGACAAGTGACAGTCACCTCTATTTCTCGAACTCTGGCTTCATCTGCTAGCTGTTGCTGAAGTGTCTGCTGAACCGTTTCACTTTCCAATTCCAAGGCGAGACGAACACGTCTTGCGCGTACACGAGCCTGAACTCTTACCAACGCTTGCATGCATCGAAGAGTTACAGCAGCTTGTTTTCTCACAGCGTGTCCTCTAACAAGGGCTTGAAGTCTAACCAATCCCTTCAACGCTCGTAAAGCCCTTCTAGCCTAAGAAATGTATCATCTTGCTTATCAATCCACTTTTCTTTTAAAACCAATGAACTATCATCACTAAACAATAACTAAAGCATGCAATAAATAAGACTATAAAAAGATCAACTCCATAAGGCGAATTGATACCAAAAATCCCCGATAAGCTGTTTGGATACGCGTTGCAGCCCGATTTTCCCTACTTTGTTCTCCATAAGCTACACCCCCATATGACTGTAGTGAAGTTGAAGTAGAGACCCCAGTATCAATCATACTACGCGTATTGGACTCTTCAAATCCATCTTGAAATTTCTCAAAGTCGAAATCAACTGAATTCTTTCTCCCAAACCTACTCTTGGACGCAACCTTCACCTTCATCAGTTAAAACAAACACAGAAATGAACCAACATTGGCATAATTAAGACAAAAAGAGAAACTCTTGTAATAATCTTTCCTTGAAGTACTCACATTTTCATCTTTCTTTGAAGACTTGGACTTATCAGATTTAGTAAAACCAACCAATGCTTTAATCCATCTCCCTGAAGCTCCCATTGTATCTCAATTCCAACGATCAGCAACATAAAACAACCCAAACCTGCAAAATTGCCAATTTAGAAACTGAATTATTCAAAACAGTAAAGCTTTCTCCTTTTTGATAAAAAAAAATACACAAAAAAGGAAACTTTAATTGAGTTCACTAAATTCTCCTGACAATGTTGGTTGGATCCTAAAAATCAAAACCAAGAATTTAGTAATGAACACTAACAAAAAAACCAAAACTTTGCAAAATTGAGAAACGAAGAGACACATCAAAAGAAGCAAAATTCAAAAACTTTTTACCGGCGGCGAAGGAAAGATCGGCCGATGAGATCTTTAGAGAGAGTGAGTGACGACTTGGTGATCTTTTTTCTTCAGTCAGTGAGCGTCTTTCTCGGCTACTTTACTTTTTTCTCTCACTAGAAAAAGAAAAAGGTCCATTCTTTATTTTCTCTCTCTAGGGGATATGTGTGTGAAATATACAGATAGATAGGAATTGACTTATTATCGTTTCGTTTTCCCTCTCCTCTCTCAGATACGATTGATTGAATGATAGATTAGATTGCACGCCGTACGCGTGCTATATTGTTCAATTTGTCAGCGTTTTTAGACATCTAAAACGGCACGCAGTTTTTTAGTTTGAAGTATGTTTTTAATTCTCTTTAATTAATGCATGCATTTATATATGTGCAAGTCTCATTGGACACTCATATTTGAATGAGAAAGACGGAAAAACGGTCTATTTCCCCGTGAAAACTATGACATCATAACAGATAGAGCCCAAACTTTAATCCCGGTCCATATGTCCATGAAATCAAAGTTTTATTCTTGTTTCCCCCCCAATTAAAAGTTCCATAGCTTAATGTCCCCGAGTCAATAGTTCGAGAACTAAAACCCCACGGAAACTGGGTTAAATCGGTTTACGAACTAAACCTGATAGAAAACCAAACAAACTCAATATAACCGAAATTAAACCCGACCCAATCTAAAACCCAACCATAAATCACCCAATTTCTCCTTCTTCTTCACCGAACCACTTTAATGGCTTCACAACTTCTTCTTCTTCACCAAACCACTTCAATGGCTTTGTAGCTTTCACCAAATCACCAAATTTGTTTAAGTCACCAAATCATCAATATGTTTAAATCACCAAATCACAGCTCCAAAGCCAAATTTAATTAACCTCCATTGACGCACATTATTAGGATCTGCCTCTTTCATCTTTGGAATCACCAATTTCAAAAGTCAAAACTATGTTCTTCATCTCCGATAAACCTTCCTCTAATAATTAGAGTGTCCAGCTCCAAAGCCAGATTCACATCCTCTCTCCCAGCCCAAGCATATTGATTTAGGTATGAGCATCGTCTTTCTCTTTTATATTCCAGCCATGAAGACGACGTCGACTAGCTCTTGACTCCCATGCCTCGCGTCGTTGATAAAAGAGGATTCTCCATGAACTGGTCCATTAGATTCAGACCTTGGCTAATGATTTCGTCACATTTGCAGCACAATGGACATAATTGAGGTGGAAATTCTCAAAAAAATCTCAAATCTAAGATCGTAATGATGATGTTCATCATCGAGCTTGCTCATAAAACTGAAGTCAAATTTAATCAATCTTAGTTCCATATGAATTAAGATTACGTGAGAAAATAACAAATTGGATTCCATTGCAATTAAGGACTCTTCCTCCTGCCGTAGATTAAACGAATTGGATTCTTGTTTCTAGGGTTCTTCAAGATAAATTGTTTTTCAAACGAATCTGATTTTGGGGATATGGGTTTGGTTTTACATCTAACCGGGTCGTTATTGGATTTAATACGATTTAGTATTTTTGTTACGTGGTTAAGTAAATAGTAAACCAAACAAAACCGATGACAATGGGTAATTTAGATGAGAACTATTATTCCGAGGAGATATAAGATGAAATCTATTGTTTCAGAGAGACATAGATTGATAAGTATTTTTTCGGGGACATCTAGGTCGTGGTCATAGATTGGGCTCTATCTGTTATGATGTCATAGTTCTCGTGGGGAAATAGACCGTTTTTCCGAGAAAGACAAAACAAGTTGACGTGTCACCTAATAATATGATGTGACTTTAGTTGTACTGCTTGTTATCTAAATTAATTAATATTCAAAAAAATGGTTTATCTTGATTTAAATATGTAATTATAAATTTTCTTTTACTTCTGGTAGACGTAACAACTAGGCCTGGACGTTCGGGTACCCGTTCGGTTCTGGTTTGGTTCCGGTTCGGTTCCGGTTCTTTCAGTTCTAGAATTTAAGATCCATATAGGAACCAAACAATTTCGGTTCGGTTTCGGTTCCGGGTAATTCGGTTCTGAAGTTTAGGATCCATTCAGATATTTTCTTTCGGATGTTTTTAGGTATTTTGGATATTTTTGGGTATTTTCGGATATTTTTGAGTATTTTTTGGATATTTTAAGTATTTTTTGATGTATTTTCTAAATATTTGTTGGTTTTTCGGTATTTTTGGTTATTCGATCTAAAAATAACTAATATTTTTAGATATAATCTCATATTTTGGGTATTTTCGGGTATCCAAAATATTTCGGTTCGGTTCGGCTCCGGTTTCGGTTTTTTCGGTTCTAAAATTTAGGATTCATTTGAGTATTTTAAAATTTCGGTTCGGTTCCGGTTCGTTCTTTTTCCTTCGGTTCCGGTTCGGTTCTTGTGGTTCGGTTATTTTGTCGAGGTCTAGTAACAACTATCACATGGTTATGTAGTTTGATGTAAATAATCTTTTGAAAACTCGTATATTAAAATAAAATTTATTTTTTTCCTACTAACTTGTTTGGGAATATGTGATCAAATTTGGCTATTTTTTATTTCTGTTAGTTGGCCTAGTTGGTGTGTTTTTATGTAGGAAATGATAAATGGAAAAGAGAAAAAACAAACCAAGAAGAAAAAGTTAGATTGAAGGGAATTTAAGAGAAATTGTTAAAAATGCCCCTTTTTCAATACCACTTTTCAAAAATGCCCCATTTGAGAGTCCATTTTTAAGTTTGCCCTCTTTTAATTTTTAATGACCATTTTACCCTTATTTGAAACAAAATTAGGTCCACAAAATACAAAATATTTTTTGGCGGGAAAAGTGATCCCGCAATTTTCCCGCCAAAACACTTGTAAAAAACCTTGTAAAATTTTCCCGTAAAATTTTTCCCGCCAAAAAATTTTCCCGCCAAAAAATTTTTTTTGCGGGAAAAGTGATTCCGCAATTTTTTTTTTTGGCGGGAAAAATTTACAAGGTATTTTAAAGGTTTTTTACAAGTGTTTTGTAAGGTTTTACAATGTATTTTAAAAGGTTTTACAAGGTACTTATTAGGTTTTATAAGGTATTTATAACTTGTAAAACCTTATAAAAAACTTGTAAAACCTTATAACTTGTAAAAACCTTATAAAATAGCTTGTAAAATCTTATAATATCTTGTAAATACGTTGTAAAACCTTTTAAAATACATTGTAAAACCTTATAAATACCTTGTAAAAAACCTTTAAAATACCTTGTAAATTTTTGGCGGGAAAAATTTTCCCGCCAAAAAAATTGCGGAATCACTTTTCCCGCAAAAAAAATTTTTTGGCGGGAAAATTTTTTGGCGGGAAAAATTTTACGGGAAAATTTTACAAGGTATTTTAAAGGTTTTTTACAAGGTTTTACAAGTGTTTTGGCGGGAAAAATTGCGGGATCAATTTTCCCGCCAAAAAATATTTTGTATTTTGTAGACCTAATTTTGTTATATTTCCTTATATATTTGTGATATATTTTATTAAAAGAAGGGTAATTTAGTCATTTTGTACATAAAAAGGGGTATTTTTAAAAATGGACAGCCAAAGGGGGCATTTTTGAAAAGGGGTATTGAAAAAGGGGCATTTTTGTGAGTCTCCCATGTTTTTTTTTCGCTTTTTTTTCTTAACGTCTAATTATTAATATTAATTAGAAAACGTTAACACAATTTTGAAATAAACAACTCCTTAAACATATTAGAAGACAAAAATAAGTTTGAGAAATAACTTGTTGTCGATGTGCTAGTTTAGCCAATTTGTCTACAATTTGATTATATTTTCGAGGTACCATTATAAATATAATGTAAGTTTAGCCAACTTGTCTACAATTTGATCCGTCTAACTGCAGATATTAACGAGGAGATTCTTCATAGTTGTATTTTTAGATCGATTATGGAGAAGGTCATTTTAAAACTATGCAATCACCTTCCATGATTTACCTTGGAGTAGTCTCTGCACTATGATGATTATAAAGTATGTAAAAGAGCAATTCATTTATGTGCATTAGGTGGACTGGTGGAGTAAAAAAATTTACTCTATTTTTGTTCATTTTTAATTTTTTTCAAGCAGAAAATATATAAACATTTTAATTGTTTGTTTACACAACCTAATAAGTGAGGAGCAGCCAAAATTTTTTTTTCCATTTTATTAATAAAAACAAAAATAATTGTAAATAAAATGACTCAATGACACGTCACTAGTAAAAATCAAATGGAACTCGAAGAGAGTTAAATAATAATACTAAGAAGATATTATTTAGATTCATCAAATTCATAATCATCATCCTCTGTTTTTAACCAATCTCAGCTCTGCTTCTCAAAGAATCCAGGATTCTTCAGATTCCTCTCCTTTTGATCTTCTCCTTAAGGAATCACTCTCTTTGTTTCTTCGATCCGGTGTAAGAGAAATGGTCGTTATCAACAGCCTTCGACGCTTGGCGCGTACCACTCAGGTTCTTCAACTTCTTACTCACCTTATCATCATCTCATTATTCTCAGATACATGATCCGCGATTGAATATAACCTAAAAACCATGAATGTTATTCTCTCTTAGTAGATCAGGATATTCAGAAGAATACCCAAAAATTTAATCTTTTTTTCTTTTCAAAACGTCAAATTGACCTGGATCAGGATGATAAAAGGTCATGTCTTTTTGAAAGTATACTTTTTTGAGATTCTCCAGTAATCAAGGAACAAACTTTTTCAGAAAATTCTGTGGAATTCATTAGTGATGTGATTCATATAGCTCAATCTCAGTGCTTAATATCTCAACTCTCATGGCAGGTTAATTTGCAGAGTAGGTATGCCACTTGCATGTCTGGGAACTCGATCTCCAGGAGGATCTTCACTACTGAGGCAGCACCTGAGAAGCAAAACTCTGTTAGGTGAGTCATTTTTAATGCTTCTAAGCGTTGTACTTTAATAGAGACATGAATAGTGGTGATGTTTTCTTTCTGAGCAGGTCTAAAGGGCATGATATGCTTGCACCTTTTACTGCTGGCTGGCAGAGTGCTGATTTAGATCCCTTGGTCATCGCTAAGTCTGAGGTATGACAATGTTTGGCTGTGACAAGTACATATCAAATGTGACATTTTCTTTCGTTTTTTTAACTTCTTACAGGGATGTTATGTGTATGATGCCAATGGGAAAAAGTATCTTGATTCTCTTGCTGGTCTATGGTGTACTGCCTTAGGTATTCTTCCTTCTATTACTATACAAGTTTCTTGATGTGTTCACTTCTTACATGCCTGCAAGTGTTAGCATTGTGTCAATTGATATCCGAACTTTTGCAGGAGGAAATGAGCCACGGCTTGTTTCTGCTGCTGTTGAGCAGTTGAACACCTTGCCGTTTTATCACTCCTTTTGGAACCGTACTACTAAACCTTCACTGGTACTCGAGACTTTTCCTTTTGGTGTTATTTTTATACTCTTTTTTCTACAGTTTCCTTCTACTTTCTGTGCGCTGTTCAGACTCAGAGCAGTATACACTTGATGGGTTATCAATGAGAATTTGAGCACTGTGATATTTTTCCTACTAAACAGGATCTTGCTAAGGATCTTTTAGAGATGTTCACGGCCAACAAAATGGCCAAAGCATTTTTTACAAGCGGTGGATCAGATGCCAACGATACCCAGGTTTCCATTACTATATGCTGTACCTTGATCTTCTAATTTCTAAGTTATCGACCGATGAGAGTTGTTTATGATTCTCCTGTATGTATAATGCAGGTCAAGCTGGTTTGGTATTACAATAACGCACTTGGAAGGCCTGAGAAGAAAAAATTTATCGCGAGAAATAAATCGTGAGAAAGGATATTTGATTGTCATTTTCCCTGTCTGTTTTCATAAGATCTGAGTGCGCTTATAAGTGCGGTGTTGTCATATTCAGGTACCATGGCTCCACTCTTATATCAGCAAGTTTGTCCGGGTAGGATAAAAGTTCCTCAGATATTCTTTTTGGAAGTGCTAAAGATTCTTTCTTTTCCCTAACAAATTTAATTCGTTGTTCCAGCCTTCCGCCGCTACACCATAATTTTGATTTACCTGCACCATTTGTGCTGCACACAGATTGCCCTCATTATTGGCGTTTTCATCTTCCAGGTATGAATGATTCTCACTTCCATTTTAAACAGTAAAAGTAATCTGTTATTGCAACCTTTGAATTGTGTGTTCAGGTGAAACGGAAGAGGAGTTCTCAACCAGATTAGCCAAGAATTTAGAGGATCTTATCATCAAAGAGGGACCAGAAACTGTAAACTTCTATATTTACTTACGCAAATTTCGGTCTTTATGCATTAAATATGATGTTGGCATCTCAGTCTAACAGAATGTCTTCTTAACAGATTGGTGCTTTTATAGCTGAACCAGTCATGGGTGCTGGGGGTGTGATACCTCCACCTGCTACCTACTTTGAAAAGGTCATTTTCGGAAACTTTGTTGGTACTACGTACCGCTAGCATGATATTGGGCTCTTTTTGCCGTTTCATTTTGTTTATCCAAGTGTTTTTTTCTCTTTCTGTGTTGCAGATCCAAGCTGTTGTTAAGAAATATGATATCTTGTTCATTGCTGATGAGGTATGTGCATATCTTATTGAACCATGTTTACTATCAGTCCACACAGGATCATGACCCGAATATCGATCAAAAAGAAAAGATACCATTATCTGTTTTGATTTTGTTTGGCCTTTAAGGTGATATGTGCATTTGGAAGGCTTGGGACAATGTTTGGCTGTGACAAATACAACATTAAGCCAGATCTTGTGAGCTTAGCTAAGGTGAGATTTTGCAAGCTAGTTAGTGATTAGGAGCTTTTTATCTCTGTTGGCAAATTTCCCTGACTTGTTTTAAATGTTATTAATTTGCAGGCACTGTCTTCAGCATATATGCCGATTGGAGCCATTCTTATGAGTCAAGAAGTGGCAGATGTCATTTACTCTCAAAGCAACAAGCTAGGTACTTTTGTAAACTAATTAATGTTCACTGTGGTAATAATCCAATTTTCTGATCTTAATGCTGGTAAAAAAATCTACATTTCAGGTATTTTCTCGCATGGATTTACTTATTCTGGTCATCCAGTTTCATGTGCTGTAGCAATTGAAGCGTTAAAGATATACAAGTAAGTTTGTCACTTTGCTCGTTCATGCAAGTGAGCCAGTTTTTAGACTGTGATTTGCCAAAAGCATCAAAACCTGTCACACAGCTGATTAAGTTTCTCGTTCCTCTATTCTTACTGCACTTTTTTGACGTTCATATTAATATTACAGGGAGAGGAACATACCAGAGTATGTCGCCAAAGTTGCCCCAAGGTTTCAAGATGGACTTAAAGCTTTTGCCTCTAGTAGTCCTATTATTGGAGAGGTACAATTTCTCTTGGTCCTTTACTTACCAGTTTTATTCAATAAGAAGTATTTGACTGAGGACATTATGCGATGGTTATCAGATAAGAGGAACAGGTTTGATTCTCGGGACTGAGTTTGTCGACAATAAATCCCCGAACGAACCATTTCCACCAGAATGGGGTAAAAAGATCTCTCTAATGACCAAAGATTAAAGTCTCTTTTCTCCTACACTCATTTACTTTGCTACACCAATTTCAATTGATGTTTACAGGTGTTGGCGCATACTTTGGAGCCGAGTGCCAGAAGCGCGGGATGTTAGTCCGTGTTGCAGGTGATAGCATAATGATGTCACCACCGCTCATTATCTCACCTGAAGAGATCGATGAGGTAAAATGTCCTAATCTTGAGACATTAAGATTGCTATTGTCTGTTAAATTTTGTGACTAATTCACTGAAACTCTCTCTCTCTCTCTCTTTCTTTTAGTTGATTTCTATCTATGGGAAGGCATTGAAGGCAACGGAAGAGAAAGTAAAAGAACTCAAGACTCAGCACAAGAAGTGAGAAGCAGAGTCCAAATGATGTTGATGAAAATGTTTTTTAGATTTTCGAAAGTTTGGATATTTTGTTTTTTAACACACAATTCTTTGAATAAGTGCATTTTAATGAGGAATAAACAATAATGGGACATCTCACGCTGTGATCAAAACCATCTAACCATCCAAAAAATGCAGAGACATGACTGTGTTTGTGCTTGCAATGCTACCTGAGACAGTAACTGTGAAGGTTTCTTCTCATCCAATGATTTTAAAGATAGCATTATGCTAAACCAGTGATGGCCATAGAGTATAGACCAATCCGGACCGGAATGGCTCATAGACTTTTTGGTCCACAACCACAACTATAACCAAACTCTTTTAAATAGTTGAAAGAACATTGAAAGAAAAGAAAAAACGATCTAAAGAGAGTTTCTTGATTGGAGAACATCCATTATCATGGAACACGATCAAATCAGCCTGGCTTTTGGTATCAAGATCGAGGACGTTTTTTATTTGCTTCTCTTCTTGATCTCCTCTCCCTTGAACTTAAAGAAGTCTTGAACCCAACTTCATTCTCCGAGTCGTACACATCTTTAAACGATTTCTGCACACACACACACACACTTGAATTTTCTTAAAATCAATTGTTGAGGAATAACGGTAAGACCACAATGGCAGTTAAAATGACACCGAACAAGATTGTGATCTGATAAGCTATATTTATCTACTCTGAGAAATTAAGGAGTAGTTCCATAACAACACGAACCTCTCTGATCTCGGCGAAGCTAACGGCATAAAAGGTTACGACGGAGACCGCGACAATTCCCAGAACAGGGAGTGCGATATGGCTTAGCCCTTCCATTTTCTTCTCTTCTCTGAACCAAACTTTGAAGATAAGGCTTTTGAGGATAATATCTCTTTATATAGCATCTGAATTCAACTCTCTTCTTTTTTTTCACTTATCCTTTTAAAGACTCAAGATTAGCTTATGTCCAAACAATATTATTTGGACAAGAGAGAGAACAAAAAGAGTACAGTGTTTGTGAAACAATTAAAAATCTGAACTTAAAAAGTAAGTAACAATCAACATCTCTAAAATGGTTTATGTCCTCACTACCATATAAGAAATACATGCTGAGTAAGAAGAAGAATCATGTAATTATTAGTTTCTGGGATACAACTTAAAACTGGTAAAGACTTCTATTAATAACACAAATCAAATCCTAATGGTGATTACAGAGAGAGGTGCAAGTTCAAGTGAACAGATTCTCCGAATAACCGCCTTCATAACTCGCTTCCTTTTCCCCTTTGAATATCTCGGCATCATCGAAACCTGTTCACATTTCATTCAAAACCCTTAACAACTTCTCACAAACAATATCTTGGTAAGGATAAAAAAATACTAGATTCTACGAAACTTTTACCTGACCCCAAGTCTTCTGTTTCGTCGATAACAACAGCTACTTCTTCTGCCCTCTTAATGAACTCGAGTGACTTCCAGTCTGAGCTTCCATTTCCTTCTATACAAACTTGGTTTCTTGAAACCCAGTCTTCAAGAACTTCCATGTTGCTGTGTGATAACGGGTCTACAGTTTCATCTCCGCTGCTTTCGCTGCCCCTAGAGGAAGCAGACAGAGAACCCTTTTAGTTCTGTTTTGAACAAAGACGGTATAGCAATCAAGAAGAGCAAATGATTCCAACTTACAGTCGTCTGAGGCGCATGTTGTACTGAACAAATACAAGATCGCTGAGCCGTTGTCGCTCAATGGAGTTCTTTGATTCATATATTTGTGATATTAGTGTCAGGTTTCTCCCTGAGCCAATAGATGAGCTGCATGTCTGACTCAGAATGCGTATAGCAAAACGTGACAGGTTCAAGCAGCTTTCTCCATATGTAGACCACCATTCAGCTACAGAAATCAAACATGTTTAAACAAAACACTTGAACATATGAAATCTTTATGAGATTCAATAAACAAGAAAAAAATGGCGTACCTGGAAGCATTGTGTCACGAGCTCTGATTGCTAAGTTCCTTCCGAAAATCCCAACAGCATTCTTGTATGAGTTTATGTCCTTAATGACAATATCTTGAATGTTGACATCAGGGACCAATTTCTCTATGCAATCAACAACCGCTAAATGGATCTCACTACGCATTTCTTCGTCAATGCTATAGAAGAACTTTGGGTTCAGATAGAAACCAGCGGCATGCAAAGGTTGCTGCAACCACCACCTATCTATAATTTTCCAGTAGACTATGTAATCCTCCCTGTGAACCAGATGTGTCTTAATAGCTTCCTTTGCTCGGTACACTGCTGCATAGACATACCCCATAGCAGGCTTCCTTTCAGAACAAACTATCCTCAAAACCCGCAAAATCGGAGCAGTTATATGGTTTGCCAATGTTAATGCCTTCCAGAAATTCTCATCATTGATAGTCTCAGTCATTGCTAATCCACCTGCTTCCTTCGAATATGAACAATCATTCCACTCGGATGAAGTAACCATGGCCTGCAAATGGGGTTTTAGATCGGCAATTCTTCTCATTGTTGTAAAATTTGTGGCGGAACTGGTAAAGGCTGGTTGCACAATATCATTGCCATAAGTGAATTTCCTCACAAGATTCAAAACACCACTGTGATTGTAAATAATTCTTGTGACAGTTCGAGCTTGTTCGATAATTTCTCTTATCCAGTCCATCTTCCCAAATTCTTCAAGCATCTTGTCTATGCAGTGTGCAGCACAAGGAACCCAGTACAGAGAAGGATACACATCCATCAACTTTTTCCCAGCAGCAGCGTAATGATCTTCACATTTGGTAATAACTTGAACAACATTGGTATCACCTATCTCTTCAACTACCTCCTTAAGTAACTCATACAATTTATCCTCAGAATCCAATATCTCCGATGCGTCAACTGATTTCAGAAACACTACTTTCTCGGGACAGTAAACCAAAAACTTAAGGATCATCAGGCCTTCGTTGGAGTTCAATTCCTGAACTAAAACGGAACATCCTGTCCTCTTCCACAGAGATTTGCATTCATCAATCTCTTTCTTCACTTCCTCTACACAACTCTTCAAAATCCAACCTCTAAGGTCTTCATGAGTAGGAACAGAAACACCAAATCCTCCAGAAACAATCGCATCGATAAACGGTTGGAAATTAACAGAATTCGCCGCATCAAAATCAGCTCCAATATCAAACAGAAACCGTCCCATTGCCATATGAACTGTTTTTTCCCGGTCTTTCGAAGACGGATGCACAATGTTCTTCACGCTACTAATAGCCACAGGAATCAAATTGTCCATATCTCGATCAATCAAGTCACTCATATTGCTCACACCACCAACCTCAACATTAGCCAAATCATTCCTCTCAAAAGCATTATTCTTTCTACTCCTATAAGTCCTCTGCTTCGTCCTTCCCGTGCTTTGACCAGCTACGACATCCGAACTCGGCGATTTAAACCCGTTATTCACATCAGAAGGAGCAACAACCTGAGTCTCCACTTCACAAGGAGGGAAATAAGCTATAGGCAACGGTTCAGCACTCGATTTACGTCTCTTCCTCTGACGTCTCACAGTACCATCAATACACTGCTGCAAGAAAAGACGAACCTCTTCAGGAACTTGATCACAGATAGTACCTTGTCCCTTCTTACCAGCAAGATGTTCCTTAACTCTTGTAATACCACCTCCTTTAAACATCTTCCGACAGTAAAGACATCTCATCTGAACTCGATCTCCATATTTGTAAACTTCACAGTGTTTCCAAGCACTGTCTTGTTTCTGTGGTGTAAGAGCTACAGGTTCCAAATCTGAATCCATCCTACAAACTCGTACCAAAACAAAGAACCCATGAATTACATTGCTGAATTCAAAAACCCTAGATCCTCTAATCAAACATTACTACGAGATCAACATAGAAGAAGAATTCAGCTGCATAAAAAAAGCTCTCAACTTTCGTAAAATTTTCGTTGATTAGATAGAAATCGGATTATATTGAATCAAACCCATCGAAGAAAAAGCTTTAAAAACGCGAAATTCTAAAACCCAGCGCACCAAAATCGTAAATTTCTGAGTTTTTGAATAATCGTAAGAACAAAGAACGAACCTTTTTGGTTTGCAGGTTTGTGACCGGGTTTTGGTTACGGGAAGAATCGGTTCGGGAAAAAAACTTGATAAAATTACGGTATAAGGACTTCGGTTTTGGGGAAGAAGAAGGTGGAATCGACCGGAGAAGAAGACTTTAAATCTGAGAGCGACGGAGGAATGCAATGTCGGAGAAATTTTTTGAGATGACCCGGCTCGTTAGGGTTCGAGAGGAGAAGAAGTTGGGCAGCTTTTCTGGTTTATAAAAACGACAATTTTATTTTTTTATTTTTGTGACGTCTTCTAAAATAAATCTCTTGATTTGGCTTAAACTTGTTTTTGTGGTTAAATCGGTTTTAATTTGAGGACTAAAGTGGTGATTTGTATAAAGCATAAGGTCTGATATGATGATAAGTGACTTTCTGTGGGGTATCTTCTAATTTATCTTTTCAAACATAGAAATGATTTTGGGTCAAAAATATTGAATGAGATTGTATAATCTAGAGAAATTTATTGTTTTTGAAAGTCTTATCATAAATTAATTAAGGTAAAGTTGAATAAGAAATTACAGATTTTTAATTTTATAAGATTAATATAACTTTTTTTTAGTTATTACTTATTAGCTTTAGCTTTACATTTTTTACTTAATTTTTTTTTTAAGTAAAAATATTTTAATTTTGGATTCTTTTTTTTTTAAAATCTATTATTGGATTTTGAATTCAATTATGATTTTAGCTATGTAGCTTTTTTTTAATTAAAAAAAAATCTTATATTAGTATTGTTGAAAAAAATTTCCTTGCTCTCCATCTTAGTACATAAATCTTATTTTTGTTATTTTCAGAAAATTCATACGTAATGGATTAATGTTTAAACAAAACTCTTCATCTATATCACCTCATAACAGCTTAGACTTTCCCTGAAATTCAATTTAACATAAAATAAATGTTAAAATAATATCATAGTGAACAATGAAATGACAAAATGATCGTGGTCTAATGGTTTCCAACTGAGAAAGAATTGTCATGTAAGTTTAGTCCAGGAATAAATTCTCCTCAAACACAGAATTATCTAAAGAAATCTTATTTGGCCAGTCGAAGTCGATAACAATAACCATTGCTCGCATTTGAGAGTTTGTTGCTTGCTTGTTCGGCGAGATCTCGGATCTTTATCTTCTCACATGGTTGTTCTTATGTTACGCATTAGAGGCTTCGCTACTATTATGTGTCTTACATAACCAGAGCCGTGCCTCCCCTTATAGAAAAAAGGCAAGTGCCTTAGGCCACACTTAATATAGTAAATTTATAGGCCACATTTTATGGAAATTACCCTAGTTCAGCTACTCAATTCTTTTTTCTAATGGTCAATTTCAAAGGTTTTAGTAGTACCAAAACTAATACTTATTCATTTATTAGAGGTTTTTTTCTATTTTCTTTGTTTTTCAAAGTTTTGTTTTTCAAATTTTAAGCTTAAGTATGTTTTACTATTTTTTTAAAAAAATTAAAATGTCACATTTTTAAATATCGCCTTAGGCCTCTAAATCCGTAGGCACGGCACTGTACATAACAACAATTGTTATGTTTTACAAGATTTGCTTCGCTACTCGTACGTGTTTTGTCAAAAAAAAAAGTTTAAAACATGAACACGGAGCTTAAAGAATCTGGTAGGAGGGGATTGCGTTGAAAGCAAGAACAACACATCAATTGGAATCTAACATCAGCCATAGCCATGGAAATTACATAACCAAATTACTGCATCCAATCTAATACATCTGGAATCTTTTTGTTAGAATTGCTGCATGCTATATATCTGAAATTCATCATCTGGTTTCTGTCTCCTTACCTGAATCCATAATGTGTATGTACGATTAACTCATCAAACGTTGAGAGGATCATCTTCTTTGTTTCTTTCATTGTGATATTTATACAATGTTAGTTTTAATTTTTAAGAGTTAGAAATATTTGAACACAAATCAATAATCACATAATAGTTTTCATTCTCATATATGATATATCGCAATAAGTCTCTATGATTGAACATGGAAAAGAAACAACTTTTGCTTAGGTTGAAAGGACTTCCTATTCGCTCCTTCGTCTTTCTAATGGTTCCTCTCTTTCTTGTCCCTTGCCTTATTTTGCTTAGGAGAGTCTCTTTATCGAGTGTTCTTTAAAGTCTTACCAAAAGCATCGCTTATGGTATAGTCGATGAATTTGCTCTCGAATGTTTATGCTTCCATGTTTTTTCTCTTTTTTTGGCATGGGACCATGTTTTTTAGGATTTGCTTTGTTGTAAAACCTAAACTTTCATTTCTTGAAATGATATTTACATTCTTATCAAAAAAAAAAAAAAAGAAACAACTAATACGAAGTCAGTCCCTTCCTATGCAAACTCTTTACCATATCCTTCATGTTATGTGATCGATAAACTATGAATCACACAATCTCGTCATCTTTTGCCACACTCACAACAAACATTTAACATTATGAAATTACTTCTCCAAATTTTCTATTGAATCGCACAACTTTTTTGTCCAAGAAGAAAGATTCGAATCCTGTCTCTAGGTTCTTGTCCAGTTATTGGATAAAACACTCTACTTATAACACCATAAGATCAACATGGAAATCAAGAATGACAACTCAAACATGCTTTCTACGAGACTCTCTATGTTACTACAATAGCATTACTCAGAACCTAAGACAATATCACAAAAAGCCTATTCTGGATTCACATCAGAAAACCCCATTTCAATACTACACAATCTTGAAATTGGAAACCAAAATTGACCATATTCAAGGTTTGGTAAGCAAATAAACTATCAAACCAATGACAATATATAAAACGGAGGCATCAATATAGCAAATGATCATAAGTAAAAGACAAAATCCAGAATCAATTCCAAACCAAAAAGTCTTAAACAACATGATCCAAATTCATTCTAGAACTAAACAAAATAGATAGAATCTCAAAGGTTCTTCAGAACCTGAGCTTAGTAAAGAACCACCTGTTCTTGCCAGTCTTGAACCTCTCCTCAAGCTTAGCCTTAGCTTCTTTAAGAGCAGTCACCTTCTTATCTTTACTCTTTAGAGCATCAAGAGTCGCAACTTCCTTCAGATCTACATCGAGCGTGTAACGTGTGGGCATCAGATGCTGGTAATTCACGAGCTTGATGAAACATTTCACTCTTGATTTCTTCGCCGTCTTCTTCGCTGAGTCTTTGCGGATGACTTTGCTTGGATACTTCTTCAGTCCGGCGACGAGGCAGTGTCCGTAACGACGGTCACTGGTTCCGTCGTCGAAGGATTTGATGATCACTGCCTTTTTGCCGGCGTAACGGCCTTGAAGGAGGATCACCGCCTTGTTCTGCTTCAGAAACTTCACCATTGTTTCTTTCTCACCACCTCAAAGAAGAAACCCTAATTAATGAGCTTTATATAGTGTGCTGAGTAAAAACCCTAATTTATGAGTTCTAACATCGAATTTGGCCCAATTAAATTGGCTGAACCTAAAAGGCCCATGTAACTTTCTAATATCATTTTAGGCCCTGAAGCCACCAAATTCGAAAATATTATTTTGAATACCATTTTATATAATTTTTTGGCCATCGTTTTTATATGTTTGTTTTACAAAACTTTAAAGTCAAAATTCGTAATATTTTTTAAAAAAATACTATACCGAGAAATTTACTTGTTTTACTTGTGCTTTTCTTTTAATCTCCTAAACAAAGTATCCTTTGATTTTGCTATCATGTTTTAACTTTTCTACTAAATTGATAATATATTATAATTTTTTGTTGGTGTTAGTATGTAATGCATGTTAATTTTTTGGTGAGCTGTAATGCATGTTAATTTTTATTAGAGTGATTGGATTAAATGTTTTAGGCGGCTAACTAACTTTAAAAGTTCGAAATACCTGAAGACCAGAGGTAAAGTTCTAACTTAAATTTTTATTAATTTAGAAATTATATTATACATTTTAAATTGGTTTTAGTGTGTATTGTATATATCTATGTGAATATGGATAAAATTTGGATCATTTTTATTAGTTTTGTAAAAATTAAATAATTAAACAGAAAATATGGACCACTGCATGAGGAGGACCCAAAGAGAGATGATCACCTTTCGTATTTATTTTTTAACATCAAATAAATAATATAATATCATGAAACCATTCAAATACAATCATCCTTACTATCGTCAAATATCTTTTATTTGATTAGTTGATATAAGAATATGATTGATTGATGATATAATAATGAAATCGTTAATTCCGAAGTTAATGAGTCTCATGCGAGGGTCATTCAATGTTGATCCGAAGCAAGACGTAAGAACACTATAACAAATTATTCTTTGGGTAGTTTTATGACTTATGACTCGCTTTTTTTTTTGGTTTTTCTTTAATTTATATCTGTAGAATACAAAATACACGATCGAAGCAAATGGGGATCATGGATCCCTTTCAAACATAATGAAGCAAATAAACTTAAATGCAACGTGGGAGACCTTACAAACGACTAATATATATATATATATATGTCTATCTTGTGACTTATACACTAAGTCAAGATAACTTATTGATGGATCTTCTATTGCGTGTTGTTTTTCTGGTTCGGATCCACGACGTCAGTCACAGCCGCAGACGCAGTTCAATAATTCCAGTATGAGGTGAGGCAAACAGCAACATTTCGCAATGCTGCCAATAGTGTACATATATAGACATATCATTAAATAAAAAATTGAACGCAGGATGAATATCTTGCAAATGATTAACGGATAAATAGAGCCAAACAATAAATAAAGGGTTTTGTGCAATAAAACCCTCCAACTCGCCCATTTTTACAACTTTACCCTCCATCTCCGAAAAATGCAGATTAATCCTATGAAGTCCAAAATAATGTGCAATATAACCCTTATTCGCTACCGTCAAGTTCGTAAAATTTTGACAAATAATATGTCAAATCGAAGCCCTCGCGATGAACAGTTCAACTCTACTTTTAGAATTTTAAAAAACTAATGTATATGACCGGAAAAACGTTTACAATATACGTATAAGGGTTATATTGCACATTATTTTGGACTTCATAGGATTAATCTGCATTTTTCGGAGATGGAGGGTAAAGTTGCAAAAATGGGCGAGTTAAAGGGTATTTTTGCACAAAACCCATAAATAAACATATACTCCATATATATAAAGAAAATAAACTAAAAGAAATAAGTATGTACCCTTCTGTTTCTCCTGCTGCAGGGATGCCCTTGGACTTAGTCTCCGCTGCTACTGCCGGAGGATCACCCACCACCGCATCTCTAGTCGGATAACCAATTGGCGGAGGACTTGTGTACGGCCCTGATGAAGTCTGTGAAAGTTTTTGCACTGTGCCTGCAAAAAGATTAATTAATTATCTAATTGGTGTGTATTGAATAATTGTTCATGATTATACGTGGCCAAAAACGATTAATTATACGTCGGACATTGAACATGATTTTAGAATATTATAGAAGAATTACCGGAAAAGTCATTGTGCTCGGATTGATTCATTCTGATTTGAGGAGTTGAGGAATGAGGAAGTGAGAATTATGAAGAGAAGAGAGTGTTACGGTTCTAATTTATAAGGAAGACGAATATTAGCAAGTTTTTTTTATTATTACTAGGAATCAGGACCCCCGCGATGTCGCGGGGGAAAGTACTTCAAGAATCGTTTAAAAAATATCAAACGAAAAGTCATAATGAATTGTAACAATTTAGATTTTTTTTAGTAATAAATCAATAAATATTTTACGAAAATTATGATAATAAAAACTTTCACAAGCATTTATTAAGTATATTAGTATTAAAAAACATTAATTTGTAACTAAAAACTATTCTCAAGCAAAAGACATCAAATAAACTAAAGGTTACAATGGTTTTGATAAATAAGCCAAAATTTTCATTAGTTCTACTAATAAACCAAATGCTACTATATTAAATTAAACGGTAGCAACAATTCATTTAAATATATTTTAGTAATTAATTTTTTTTTAAATGATAAACTTTAACCGAGAGACGCGACCGTATATATTAAATATATCCAAAGTTGCAATGGTTCATCAAATACACTAAAGATTATAATGGTTCCTAAAACAAAACCAAATGTTGCAACAATTCAATTAAGTAGTTACATTTTAGTAATTTAAAATTAAAAATTAAAAATAATAATTTATAAAAAGTTATACCGAAGGTAGATGATTAAAATGTTTTAAAAAAAACATTAACATCAGCATACGAATGTAACTACGAATGACTGGTGAATTATTTCATAGTTTACATCAGCATAGCAAAATGTTTAAATGAATGATATAATTAAGGAGGTTATACTACTAAATATATCCATACGTAAACTATGAAATAAAACCAATTTTATATGTAGTTTATTGGTTTACGTAAAAAGAAATTCAATAAAACAATATGACCGTACAAAAATAATTGTAAGAAAAACAACCATAAATATTTAAACAAAAGGTTGCAGTAAAAAGACGCAACCGTTCAGATGTGCAAATGGTATTTATTGGAAACGACATAACCGTAAAAAAATAACCGATTAAAACGAAAATTGCGATAAAAAGACGCAACAAAAATAACCGTAAAAAAATAACCGATTTAAACGAAAGGTTGCGATAAAAAGACGCAACCGTTCAGATGTGCAAATGGTATTTATTCGATTGCTATTATATATAGATTCTCTAAATAAAAGAAAGAAAAGTCAATATTGAACAATAAAAACATCTAACTCATGGACAACTCACGGACGGACCTACCTTAGCCGGGGAAAGCCACACCGATGGTTAAGTTGAAAGTGAGAAATGGACGGAAGCTCATCCACAACTTGCCACACATATCCAAAGACCCTTATCTCTAGACTCATATGATCTCTAATTCTAAGGCAACATGGTGAATCACAGCCGAATGATCTGATGCAGAAATGGCTTTCGTCACGTACATGACGTAAACGTACATGACGTTAATATTTTAATTTTTATACATTAATTTTTTCTTTCATAACTATGTAAAACTAATTTTGTATGAAAGGACAGATGAGAACCAACAAAATAATTTGTTCATTTCGCTCATTTTTACTTTAACATTAAAAAAATTTCCTCTCATTTTTACTCGAGCGTGTAACGAGTAGGCATCAGATGCTGGTAATGCACGACCTTGATGAAACATTTCACTCTAGATTTCTTCGCCGTCTTCTTCGCTGAGTCTATATTTGCAAAGTTTTATATGTGATTGAGTGATTCTAGTCGCTTCATTCTATAGTAGACTCTTGATGTGATTTTGACGAAGTTGGGTCTGTATTGACCTTTGTTCAAGTGATTTTTCATCTAAACGAGATAAGACTAAAACGTAGAGCATCCATAAAATAATTTTATTATTAAAGCATGATAACCAAAGTTTCCATCGAAACCCTGAAAAGAAAACCAGAGTAACACAATTACCCAAATCTTTAAACAAACAAATCTGAAACTAAAAGGCCTACTATGTCTATGACTTCTTCAATATGCCTTTGTATTAAACTCCGATGATCGGAGTATCAAAGACGGCGACGAGAGCAGATCGGAGATGTAACAGAAGAAACAAACTTTCTTATTAAAGAGAAATTAAAATGTTTGTTACAAACTCAAGGACTAATCAATCTATGATTAAGCTTATATATACAATCATAAGATAACCAAACCAACATTTAAACCGGAATAAACCAAGACTCTAATACTTTGAACCATGAAAAATAGTTTTGTCCTTGTTCCTTGTGTTAATGATGCTATGTTATACTGCAAAAGAAAAAGAATTTTAGAAACTTAGGTGTTGTTTATATTGTATTAAACTTAGGAATAAAAGTCACTACGTCATATTTTGTTGTTATACGAGAGTTATGACTAGCTATTTTTGGTTTTTCTTTGATTTCTATAGAAATAAATACACGAAGCAAATGGGGATCATGGATCTCTTTCAACCAGTGAAGCAAATAACATATTGATGGATCTTCTATTACGTACATGTTGTTTTTCTGGTTTGGGCAAAGACTCGAGTCTCATCATGCTGAAAATCCTGATACGCAGCACATGAAACATTCGCCACAACCCTGAATACAACTGCCAATAGTGTATAGTAGGCAGAAAGATCATTAAAAAGAGAGTTGAACGTAGGATGAATATCTTGCGAATAATTAACGGATAATTAGAGCCAAACTATCTATAAAGAAAGTAAGTTAAATTAGATATGTATAAATATGTACTGTAATATTGCCATTACGACTTCGCAGCAGCCCTTGGAATTTGTCTTCACTGCTGCTGCCGGAGGATCCCCCACCGCCTTATCTCTGGTCGGATAACCAATCGGCGGCGGACTTATGTACGGCCCTGACGAAGTCTGTGAT